TGGATGGATGGATGGATGGATGGATGGATGGAGGGAAATAAAAACAACAAAAATAAAAAAAAACATGAAGATGAAGACTTAAGCACATAATATTAATCTAGTGCAGAACCTTGCAAAAAATAAAGTAATATCCCAGGCTTTTGTTTACATTTTGTCAAATTCTTAATAGGAAACATAGTGGTGGCAGAATTATGCTCTGGGATTGCATTTTCTTTAAAATAGGAGAGGAATTTAGCTCACTACAGAGTTGTTTTCTTAATATGACCAATATGACCATTGACAAAAATTGTATGCTTACTTCTTTACACTTGTATTATTTAAATCTAGCTAACATAATAATCTGTTTTATCTTATTTGAAACCAGTAAAGCTAATAGATTAAATGTCTGGTTATGATTAATACAAAAAATAAACGAATAGTCAAATTTACTTGAATTAATGGATGAAACTATGGTCATCCGCTTCATATATTTATTCTACCCCACAAATATAAAAATAATGTATAAGACAGAACAATAAATTAATCATCACTTCAAACATGGATACATGTGCTAGAACAAGTCATGTGTGTTCTACAAAATAAGTGGTGATGTTGACCTGCAGGTGGCGCTACACCACCAGACTACCAACTAAATCAGCAGGTTGACAAAAAGGTTGGTTGTAAAAAAAAACTACCTAAATATAATAAATATATTTCTAAATTCATTCATTTGGAGAAAACAGACAGTCTAGTCAATGAGATAATAAGTAACACACCAACTCTTCAGTATAAGAGATTTTTATGTAACATGGAGCCATAATAAGGTAAGATTTATTCAATGCAGTGTAGTAAAAATGTTAAGAACTTTTATTAAAAAACAGGTAAGTAAAACTTGGGTTAAAAGTTACACTTCATTACTAAATGAAAGTAAAGTCGGGAAGCAAATAGAAGGGTCTAAAAAATAGACCCAAACCTTAAAGAGGTAAAACCTTCTGCTCTATAATTTCTAATCATTTCTGCAGAAGAATTTTAACCACTCTTTTCAGCATTTGGCACAACCCATTTAGGAGCTCAGGCAGTTTTTCATGGGTAGCTCTCCTTTTGCCCGGCTTTACCTGTCAGACAGATGGCTTCACATCTGAGAGCTCAAAGCCGACCCAATGACTCCAATGTGGCTGCAAATCTAGCCTGAAGCATGATCCTTTTACCAACATGCTTAACTGTGGGTGTGATATATACGGTTTGTTTAAATGGAGCCTTGTAAAGCTAAGACATTTTGTGTGTGTGTTTTTATTCTAATAGCTTTTCTTTTTTTTAACATGCTTGCTTGAGGCTTAAAGAGATGCAGTTCAAGGATGTCACTTCCTGGTCTTCCCTTTCACTTTTCTGTTCGTTGCATAATGATGGACTTTAAACTGTTTAATGCCGCGCCTGCAAATCCTGTTGTCTGTCCTTGCAAAGTTTGAACATTTAAAAAAATTGTTGTATCTGCTTTAATATAGGTGCTCACTCTTAATGATGATCAGTGGTTTTAACTTGAATCAGCTGATTGATTTATGCCTTATATTGAACAGATAGAATAGAATAGAAAATCCTGTTATTGTCCCACAATGGGGAAATTCTGGTGTTTACAGCAGCAAAAAGATTTCTAGGAAAAAAATGGTCACACAAATATGGACTTTAGAAAAATGTAAAAGTATAACATAAAAGTGGAAAGTTAAAAGATAAACAAAAAAATACTGTACTGTAAAGTATTTTAACAATAAAACTGTGCACCTGGAGAATAAATAACCAATATACAGCTATGGGCATTTTTACAGTAATGGATATTTGAAAACAGCAGCAACATCCGAGAGGTGCAAAATGACAGCAGCATGTTATTTTAACTGATTAAGGTAAGAACTGTGCAAAATCAGCATAAATGTACCAAAGAGATGATAAATCATCTTGTGTTATATTCAGAGATCAGATCATATATTTACACATGTGTACAAATGAAGGTTTAAGAACAAATATAGGGGTGGATAAGCCTTTGCCTTACCTCCTAAAGCATGCATGTTTTTCCTATAAATCCAGAGGAAGGTCCTTAAGAGCAGGAATGCTGTTTTCTGTTATAAACTATATGGTGAATTGTCATCAGGTGGACCAGCATAGAGCAACTCAGCATGCATCCTGCGTGCTGCACAGCTGAAGGGGGTGAAATGTTAAGACAGAAGTTCTGAGGTGAGTGGAAATTATTAGTAAGTCAGAATAATCACATGATCTATGACATGACAGATTTATTTAATCCAAAGGAAAACAGGCTGACATTAAATTAGTGCTTGATCCTCGACTGAGATCAGTTCCTTATGAGTCGTGACTAATCAGTGACTTCATTCTCTTTTATTCAATCTGATGATTTAAGTCCTGCATGGATTTGATCTTTGTATATTCAGTTTTTCCTGTTGTCATCTACATATGTTCCTCTTGCTTTCTTTTGGATAAATGTGTTTTATCAGAACTTTGGGATACTTTCATCCCCTCAGATTAGTTCTCTATTGTCTCTAATGTCACTGCGTATGCCTTGTTCTTCTTTTTGCCAATGATCTGAATGAAAGCAAATGTTAAAAAAAAAATAGACATCTATATCTTTCTGGCACTATTTTCTAGCAAGCAGCCATAGGTCAGGGACAAAAAAAAATAGCGATTCAGTGTTGTCAAGAAATACTAATTCATTTAAATGACACCTTCCCTCTAATATCTATAATCTGCACTTTCACTGCACACCTTCTTATTGCACTTTCTCAGTTAAACGGATGAGACCATTATTACAAGCTGCTCTGCACTTTGAAAATTACCTCAGAGAAAAACATCCTCTAAAATTACGGTAATGCTGCAAAACTGTTGCACTGCACATCAGTGGATATGTGCGATAATGTAACACGTGCATGAAACAGCCAATACAGTGAATAACTCAACATTATATAAGAAACCTAACACTGTGCAACACCTTAACACTGTGTTTATGTGTGAATTGGTGTGTGTGTGTGGGGGAATGCATGCTGAGTGTGTGTTTTAACTGGTAGAGGGGTGGGGGGGCTCTCTAGGACTGTGCAATGAGGTTAAATCCGTTTGTTTATGGAACTTATACAGTGTTTATATATATATATATATATATATATATATATATATATATATATATATATATACATATATATATATATATTGATTTATAAATGGAAGCCGTTTGGGAATGCACGTGAATATTATAGAGTNATATATATATATATATTGATTTATAAATGGAAGCCGTTTGGGAATGCACGTGAATATTATAGAGTACTCTTCGTGTATTTAATGCAAATTCAGTAATCTTATCTTTCCAAACATAATAATACATTCATCACAATTAGAATTATTTAAATCTATCATTCCGAGCAGCATCTGTAACCTACCTTTTTTGATAAAAATTGTGGTTTTCCTATAATTTATAGTGTCTTGTTAACTATAAGCATCCATCTTAACTGAAAGGCTTGATAAAAGCCTTTATAAGTTGGTCTGTTTTTAATATGGAGCAACAATCAGGGAAGCAGTCCAGAGTACCATGGTAACTCTAGTTCATAAGTAATTCTAGTTCATAAGGTTGAAAATCTAACTTTTGTCTTACAGGCAAACCTCTACTTAAGGATGAAACCTAACTCTGTGTTGTGATCAAGTGCCACTGATGTAACCGGAACTACTCCCCTCTGAAGACACACCCCTCTGGCAGAGGTTTTAAAAGATGTAACTTCCTTTTTCAACTTTCTATTTTGCCTTCAGTGGCCCTGTGCCGCTAAAGGCTAGTTTGATCGCTTCCCAGCTGAAGGCTATGCTAAGTAGCAACCAAATCCCTCTGCGCTCGCTGGACCAAGTCAGACTTACTTTTTCCTGCAATTCAGAAGGAGCTGGACACAGTGTTTTTATTCTTCCTACAATTCAAACCCAGTTAAACGCCTTGTCCCCTAAAGCCTGCTCCAGCAGAGACAGAGAAGAGCTGATCCAGCTTAGCTGACCTAAATCTAACCACCAAACAACGGGGCCCCCAATCGCTGTTCGCTGAAGGAGCCGTTAGAAACTGCCAGACCCATGACTGCCTGAGACGGAGTAGCACAGAAGAGGTACTGCTGGAGGCTGCGGCTACAAGCCAACCAAGGTAGCTAAAAGGGAGACGCCTCGGCTACCATAAGTTAAAAATTAACCCCCCTTGCTAAGTCCCCTTTTATTATCTATTTGAGAGCTGCTGATGAACAGACGGACTGGACTGAAGATTGGGCCTGCAGAGAACCGGACCGAACCGAAGGCCTTCGCTCCACCGAACCAAAACAGTAGCATCATCCTTCTTTTAAACCCCTCTTCCCCGCTTATCTCTTTATTTTTGCCTATTTTAAGTAGTGTTTTGTGTCTGCTTAGTTATTAGATATAATACTGTGTGATTGTAGGTAATAAAGGTACCATTGTATTTTTACCGGCTGTCTTTTGTGTTTATTTTACACAGTGATAGCCTTGCTGATAGCCATTGTGTAAATTACTAAATTGGTGAAATACAACTGAATTTTTAACAGCCGGATTCAGGAGTCCAACCTTTTAGGTAAGAGGCTAAAAACCCTGGTAAGCAAATTAAAGTTATAATTATTTAACTGATAATAATTAATTTCTTCTATCCTTGGTTTGAATGTCCTATTAACTAACTTTAACTTCCAGTTCTAGTTATTTTATATATTCATATTCATTAAAAACTCTCACAACATCTGCGTATGAATTAGCAAACCCCTGATGAAGCATAGATGTGACAGTATCATTCTGTGAGAATGCTTGTATTTTGTAAAACAGCTAGTCAGAGTTTATGAGAAGAAGGATAGAGTTATATAAAAAGAACATCCTAAAAGGAAACCTGTCGAAGGCTGCTGCACAATGAGCCTGCAGACTATTTACTGGATCTATAGAATAATCAGTTATTTGTAGAATGAACTGAGCATTGATGGTTTACAAAGCAGATCCAAACATACCTTTAAATACCTTGTTGTAGCAAAAGTTGTCTTATTTTCCATTCTCTCATTTTACAATGTAAGTGCCACCTGGGTTTGCTCTTAAAAAATCTTGTTAGATATAATAATTGTTGTAATATCTCTAAAACAATCCTAAGACAACCTTCTCCTTTAATGCTTATCTATTCTCCCAATTTCTTCTTTTGCGTGTCTGTGTTGCTTATGCATTACTTTCCAAATTCCCTGATGGAGGGGCAATGCTTTAAGTAGCTACAGAAGAACAAGCCCTGAGACAGTGTGGGCGTTTGGAGGGAAGATAGAAAATATTGAAAGATACTCTTATAACCCCTCTGAGGCATACACACCACCCCACCATTCTGTCTCTTAGTGTGACTCAGATGCAGAGGCAGGAGGTCAGAAAAAAGTCCCCCCTCCTTCTACACCCAGCCGGCACATGTGGGAAACAGAAAACTTTATCCTATATTTAACCTCCAGGTGTCTGTGTGCTGTGTTCACTTTTGCGTGTTTGGAACTGAGTCGCCTGCAGCTGGCTGCTAGACTGGTTATCTATAAGGGGGAAAAAAATGAGACTGGCCTCTCCCTTTTGAGGTTAGCCGGGGGCTTTTAGTACTGTGTCAGCACCTTCAATCCTCTAAAGCTGAGTCACCTTAAATCTCCACCATGATAAATCAGATATGCGTTTAAAAACATAAATAACTATACTGCTGTACATTCGATGAGAAATTTATGAGAAACCTATCAAAACTGAAGCTCTTAACAGAAAGATGTAGGTGGTTATAGAAACGCAGTAGTTAATTTACAGTAATCTAACATAAAACCTTCCAGGGACATATGGTGTTCCTATTCAAAAAGAGGCAACAATGCTGAGTCAAATCACTTACTGCTTTTACCCATCAAAGCACCATAAATAATAGCAGCCTATTAAGGCTGGAGCTCTTTATGAGGGCGATCGTATATGTATCATCTCTATGAAGTCAAAAAGCCTGGCTCAGCACAGACCTCCCAACGATCTGTTCCACTTACAGCGCCCAGAGGGATTCCCACGGGACAGAGGAAGGATTTTACCCATCTCTCTTCTGTTCAAGATCTAGTTCAACTTCAGTGAGACTTTTTCTCTTGTCCCAGAAAGAATTAAAAGGATTGGATTTTAGTTAATCTCAATGCTTAAAAGATAAGCACATTGTTGAGGATGAAATATTTTTTTAGGGTGCATATGGTACATTATATATAGTATTTGAATGATGTGGCTCACCGCCCAGGGTGCTCTTTCTTTCAGGGAACACAAAACACCAAGTTGAGGAGGGGGGAAAAAAGAGTTCGACTGAAAGGTTTTATCATGTATGTAAGGTTTTTATTTGATGTACATTTTCTGTAATTTAAAAGGTTAAGCTTCATTAGTGATTTTAAGAAATCTGGACTATATTTGATTATCTCAAGTAAAAAAAGAAGCTAAAATGGTGCTAATCTTAACGGATTGCTCTACACTAAACAGGGGTTCTCAAAAGCACAGTTTGAAAATATTTCTTTGTTTATAAAAAGAAGAACTTTCAATAGTTTTTTAGGCATCAGGGCTATATGACACTGAAACCAGCATAAAGACTACAAAATGTAGACTCATCAAACTCAAACTTATTTTGATGGGGGAGGTTTGGCCTACTGGTTAGAGCAGTGCGCTTGTGCTCTGAGAAGGTTGCAAGTAGCCACTTCGATCCCCACAGCCTGCACTCTGGGTACCTGAGCAAAACCCTTAACCCCACACTGCTCCCTGGGCGCCACACAATGGCAGCCAACTGCTTCCCAGGGGGATGGGTTAAATGCGAAAACAATAAAGTTTAATGATTATTATTATTACAGCAATAAAAGGTTTCATACTAACACAGTTTTTAATTCAGAAAACCTTTTTGATAAAACCCAAAAGCTTTAGTTCAATCAAAAATGTGGGTTTTTATAAAGGAAAGCATCGTTCATGAGGATATCTATGCTAGAGGAGGCACTAGGAAAACACCCACTGGAAGAAACAAACACATAAACATGGTGACTGCATGCTTTGAGCACAGAATATGCTCACTCTGAGGCCCCTGGGAGATAAGATTGGAGGAAGTATGTGGGTGTCAGATAGCTTGGGTGTGGAACTTTCTGGATTCACACAATCCACAATGACCACAGGCCATGATTTTCATTCAAGTTTAAGACGGTGGTAATTTACTGACATACAATAACACTGACATATAGAGCCCTGGAAAGCATTTATACCTCTTTTCAACATTGTGTTATAACCGCAAACTTTTATTTATCTCATTAGGATTATAGAACAATCAACAGTTTGTTTGTTTTTTTTGCAAATAATGTGTTGTTTTCATTTAACAATTCGAAGCTGCTTGTAGGTCAAAGGTTTAAACCGGTGATCTAGCAGCCTTTCAAGGATGCAAATGATGTCCTCTCAAATTACTGAGCTTTATTCCAGATTATATGTTATAGGTCAACAAAAAGTAGGGGATACTTTGAGGCAATAGTGAAAATACTATACAGCTATCCGATAGTGTTGCATTGTGAACTGAAAGCCCCCATATGCATGGACTAGTCCGAGGACTGATTCCCATAGTTTGAGACCTTTGCTACAGGTCATCCCCCCTTTTCTCTGCCCATTTCCGGTCTGGGCCACTTATTGCAAACAGAAATAAAACTCAAACATAATGCGGAAAACTTTCCGTTTTCCATTTCAGAAAATGTTCAGGCTATTTCTGTAGCAGGGTTTTACTCCGAAAGGTTGAGACTTCTGTTCATTAATCTTTGGAAAGTTGTTCATCTTAGTGAGACTGTAGAGAATCACTAAAAAGCTATGTGAAATGACTGCTAGAGATCTAGCTTTGCACTTTGACCGGACCATTCCATCACAGTAAACTTTGATAGAATCCAGTCCATGGTTGTCGTCCTTGCATGAAGGTGAACTTCTAAGTGACCACATTTCCATATGGATGTAGCTAATTTCCAACGGATCATTTCCATCTGACCAATTTCTCTCTCTCATTTGAAGAAAATCCAACCCATTGCACAGAAATACATTTTACATTTACATTTAGATGCTTATCTGATTACCAGTTTGAATTAAGCACTTCTGAAGGCAACTGGATGAGTCTGGTTTTAGTGTTATCAACAAAGGCCACTGTATACAAATACTAAGCCCACATTTAGAATTTGATTTGTATCATATACCTTGCACGCTCGAGTTATGCAGTACCTTGTGTTTTCCTATAATAAAATGACATTATTAAATTATTTTTATTTTATTTTATATTTTCAGGTTGTAACATGAAAACATTGGGAAAAATTCAAGGGGTGTGAATACGTTGTAATGGAAGTGCAAGAAAACTAGACATATACAGTTTTTAAGTATTCCGACCGCGATGCAACAAACAGCCATGAAGATTGTTTCGTTAAGCTCCTGCAATGTCAGCATATCCCAAAGACTGAAAATGACATGTCATGCTCTCTGAAGCACTCCTTTACATTTCAAGCCGATTAATTCTGGCAATGGCATCTTGGAATATGTGTTATCAGGAAAGAAAAAGTCCACTGATGGATAAACCAGGTCATTCATAATATTCAGGAAGTCAGCTGACCTCATTCTTTGAGCTACTGTTGTTGAACCCAGATGTGCAGCCACCCCATATATTAGAAATGCCCCCACAGGTTTGTACAGTAGGGACCAAGCATGATAGGTGCATCACTTCACCTGCCTCTCTTCTTACCCTAATGCACCCATCACTCTGGAACATGGCAAAACTGTTCAGTCCCAATCCCGTAAGTTCTCTATGCATTGTGCATGTGGAAATGCTTTTATTTTCACTATTAAACATATCCCGCATGTCTAGTGTTGATTTTTATCAATTTAATTTCACCAAACATTTAAGTGATCGCTGATCGTGATCATTCAGGAGTATTTTTACATGAAGACAATGGATCTCCACTATCCCTCAGTTTTTAATAATGCGTTGGACAGTTTTTAACCCAATTTTGGTAGTTTGTGCAATCACCTTGGATGTTTTCTCTTCTTGGCGTATGCCAATGATTTGCCCCTTCTAAAACAAACTGACACCTCTTCCGTGACCATGGGATGTGCTTTTCCAAATGGTTGTGTAAAGGGCAGATTATTGTGCAATGGCACACAATTGTGCAATGGCACACATCAAATGTCTCTTGGGTCTGGTCGCGAACCAGTTTTGCTGCTATGCTTCTGCACCGTCGGTCTGCAATTTCTAGGGACACACAGCAGTTTCCCACCAAAGTGCAAGGGGGAGCCCATTCGAGAACTAGCGAGAACTTTTGCGGCGCCGGCAGGAGTGTTTATCTACCAAAACAATAATGGCACGTCTGCAAGATATCACTGTCACGGAGATGGATGTAGAATTGCTAGACATCAAAGAGGAACAGGTTCTGTTAATAGAGCAAACCTCCTCGATTAACCTTTCATTGTAGTTGTCCATTGTAGTTGTGCCTCTGTTTTTAAAAATGGCGGGCCCCGGCACAGAACCGACAAGGACGACCACACATACAGCCGGAACAAATGGGACCAATCACAGCTGCTTTTTCCCCTTGAGGTCTCTGCGGGTTTGCGACCGTCCGACGTGTAGTCAGGATTTTTTTGTCAGGTGCGCGACGACGATTCCAGAACCTCTGTGTAGGGGGCATGATCGCGCACAGAGACAGATTTGACGGAGACAGAGGCTATGCGTCAGAAGCATAAATTGGCCTTAAGAAATGAGAAGCTACTCATTGTACCAGACCGAGCTAAAAAACGGCCAAAACATGATTCCCAGTGCAGTAATATATATATAGTATTTCTTTTCTGCAGATAAAGAAATACTTGAAAGTTTGTGTCACGGTTCTTTAACCTTGAGGTTTTGACTTCTGCTCGGCAGCACCAAAAGTGAAACCCAGAACCTCAAGTGGGTCTATTAACAATCCACAGTCTTGACAAAGCGTCTTTGTTTCATAATTAATGAAAACGTGATAACCATGACACTAAATGCTGGGTGAGCCGTACATCAGGGTCTGTGACAAGTAAAAATGAATGTTGCCATTCATCCGTGCACACAGCTAATGGACCCAATAAGACTATGTTACTGAGCACGACAAAGGGGTCTTTGTATCAGTCTGATAAAAGCATACGGTATGGCAAATTTATGACACTGATACAGAATAGTCGACGTGTTATGGCTTTAACTGTTGGCCACACAGGAGAAAGTCCTTCGTACTGTGTAGGTTAATCCTACAAGAGCATAGCTGCTATTGAATGAACTGTGTTAACACATTTAGCTGCATACATTCTTGAGTTTTACAATATATATCAGGATTTTTCACTTCACAAACACATTTCTGTGTGTTTTATTTACAACTTATGCTAGCGAAAGTAGTGCAAAAAACATGTCAAAAGTTCTGTTCAAACAAAAACCTGAAAGTGCAGCTGTTTAATGAAAGCCTTAGAGCTTTTTAGAGAACATTAATAAGCAAACAGCATCAAGAAGATCAAGGGAGACAGTAAATAGGTCTATGCTATCTCTGGAGGAGCTGCATGGACCCATAGCCCAGATGGGAAACTATTGACAGGAAGACTAAGAGTCACACAAATCTGGATGAAACCAAATTCAAACTTTCTGATCTACAAAATATACTGTGTGTGGGGAAAACTAACCCTCCAGAATTGAATGAGAACACCCTCATCACATTTAAATAGAGTTGCAGTAGAAACATTGAAGATGATCTTTGGCAGAGATATTGGATATTGGATAGAAAATAGGTTAATAATGGGAGTAAAGCTGTTAGATGAGTTACAATAGAGAAGTTTAAATCAAACCTATGTCAAAATGGTCCAGTCAAAGTCCAGATCTAAAACTAACTGAGGATCTCTAACAACACTTTAAATCTAGGCTCACAAATCCCCTTTATTCATTTTAATTGAGAAAGAAAAATACATCTGCAAGGCTGGATAGGCAGAACACATTCTTAACAAACAGTATTAGGTCAAGAGGCCTGAAAACAAATGTGCACAAGACTTTAAAAATTGTTATTAGACTGTTAATAAGAATGTTGTTTTGCTTCAAAATCATTAAAAGTTTTGCCTTGATATGTCATAAAGCATCCCAACAAATTCTCGAACCAGCAAAACCTCTCCTGCAACATGTAAAGTAAGGATTTTCTGTACTGACTTTCACAGTTGGTCTCTGGTTTGTTGGATTGGACTCCTGTAGGTTGCTCCTTATTAGACAGGCATCCTGAAAAGGGAGAAGAGAAAGCAGGAGAGAATATATTTCACTTTGTTATGGGATTTAGCTGAGTGTAAAAAGACTTAAGGGAGAGATAAAAGAGAACAATATAGAGGAGAACAGAATGTACATGTTTGAGTTTGAATCTGGCTGTGAAAATTCTAAATTAATACAGAAACCTGTGGTTTCGTATTACTTCTTGATGAAAAAATAATGCTTTTATTGTCCTATTTTTCAAAATCTCTCTTTGGGTTGGTGACTGAAATTTGCAACACCCTTTTTTCTTTGGCCTGCTTATTCATCCTGTTTCCCAGACCCTGCAGGGGAAGGCTGTGATTAAAAGCAATTATTGCTGTTTTTGTCAGTAAAAACCAATGAGGTATAACAACTGCTGGTAAAGTCATCAAAAGCTAGTCTTAAAGGAAGGTGGGGGGAGGGGGGAACTCTCAGAGTCACTTTCCAGAGAATATTGATTGTTTACTTGATTACAAGCCCACCTTACGATCAGGTTTCTCTAATCCAGGCAGGCTAGAGAAAGCAACGCGATGCTCTGCTTATGCTGAATCTGACGTCATGCTTACAGAATTAGATTATGTGTTTGCCGCATTAGGCTTTGTTTAGGTTGCTCTTAAACAGGAGCAAAAAGAAACAGGACAGGGCGAAATGTAGAAATTAAGACTACAAAGACCTTACAGAACTTTGTCCTAATTTTGGCAGACGTGTTTTATGAAAGTCACAAGCTTTAGATTTGTCTTGTTCTCACTTCTAATAAACCCCCACTGGACATAGAAGAAATCCTTACTTTATATTCAGCTCAAGCTGATCTTTGTGAAGAGATGCAGCCCAGTCTATGCAGCCAGAAAATGACTGATATTACTGCACCATCACAGTGAAGGGTGCTGTAATTAATCTGTTTATATTCAGTAGAGCCACTTTGTGAGCCGTCTGTCATTCTTGGAAGGTATCCAGAGGACCATCTTTGTAAAATTAACATGTTGTTCTAGGGGACCACTATTTAAACCAGAGAGATAGTTTTATGGTTATGTCCCATAGTGTAGCAGACACATGGTTCTCTTGGGTGATGCTGAGCTAATGTGAATCAAGCTTCTCCTCTAATGAGGGTCCATTACAAACCCACACTGCAAGAACTATTCATTTTTTATGAGACGTGCAGAGCTGTTGGCGCCTTTTATCAGAGGCATTTGCTATCAGTGGTTATATGTGGCCCTTTAGAGGGGCCAGTTTAACGGGGGCCAGTGTAAAGAAAAGTCTGGAATTGGTTTTTGGGAAGCAGTATGTAGATCTAGAGTTAGGAGATATGTGGTTCCTTGCAAAAAGTTTGAGAAACCTTGAACTTCTCCAAATTTTCCAAAATCCATCCATCCCACACATTAAACTCAGTGCAGGATCTCCAGGGAAGGCTGATGTCTCTCTACCAAAGTCTTAAATATGGTTTATGCACAGAAACCAGGTTTTCTGTGTGTGTGTCGCAGTTAATGCAGATATGCCCCCCTCCTTTCGCAGACACTCTGGTGCACCTCCCGATAATTGTAGGTGACAGCAGACAGTGCCGCAGATAGCCTCGCAGGGAGGAAAGAAAGAAAGGAGACCTCTGATTGGTCAATTCTACATCTGCTCTGCACTATGCATTTCCTATGTGTTTCCTGTATGGTACCTAATACCAGAAACTCTGGCTGTAGTGCAGTCCACTACGCCTGGCACACCTCGGACACTATCCCAGACACCGTACAGAACGCTAGTTTGTAGCTCTGTGACGGTCTGTTGGTTTGCGCCCGAAGCCCAAACATGCCTAGCCACGGCCAGCCTTTTGTGAACACGCACGGGTGAACTGTGTGTCGTCCGGCATTGGATGAGGGGTTGTAAGACTGCGAACAAGCTTGTCAAACCGACACACGGACACCCACAATCCTAGCTAGTTCGTGATTGTCCCTCTTGCATTGTGGCGTGGAATAATATAGTGCAGACCACGATTCAAAATTGGGCATAAATCAAAAATAACTGCATCATACCTGCCACAAGCTAACTGCAACACACTGCTGCAGGAATATACACAGCCCATTAGGGCTCACACTCTGGAGAGGCCACCAATCTAACCCAGCCAAACATTGAAGCCACCAACCTCACACACACACACTCAGATCTAAGGGCAATACACAACAGCTAATTAACTCAACTGTAAGGTAATCACCTAAAAGATTTTTTTTTTGGTTTGCCGCTAACTGCTTTGCACATCTTGGGACGGAAATGTGAACTCATGCTCCTCTGACACTGGATAGCTTTGTATCTATCTCCATCAATTGTCCCTGAACGAAACAACATCCACCTATTACATCTTCGGGGTCATATGCTGAGCTGACTTTTCCACCCACTGGGCTTTGTATATCAGATAAAAGTAAAATTTTTGAGTCTCATTTGCAAAGCACCTTCTTCCACGTTTGCTCCGTTCATGTTTGACTTTCAAGACTTTTATGGTATGCTTTAAACTAGAGTATTCTCCCTGCAATCTGTACGCAAAGACAACATTTTCAGAGTGTGGTACTGTAGTTTTCATTTCGATAGATTCTCCCATATGGGGCAGATCTTTGCAACTCCTCCACAGAGCTCCTTGCCTTGCTTGATGTTTAAGGTCTGGAACAGACTATCCATTTGTGTGAAGGCTCTGTGAAATGCCCAAAGCTTAGGATACTGTTATATAGTCTAACCCTGCTTTAAGATGTTGGTTTTTCTAATGAGCCCCTGGGGGCCTTCACAAAACAGCTGTGTCAACGCTGAAATGAAATTGCATGCATGCAGCCCTAATTAATTAGATGCTTTTACTCTATGTTATTCAAAGCTATTAGAGGATTTTTATTAAATGATAAAATGCAAAAAGGTTTAAGGAAAAAAAAAACATGGGATTTTTAAGGTTAGTAAATTTCATTTAAAATATATATTATGTATTACATCAAACCTGACATTATGGGGAACTATTTATTATCTCTAAATGTGCTTTTGTTGGCAGTTTACAAATGCTTTACAGCAATTTTATTTGATTTTTCTTGGTGCTGAGGAGTTGAAGCTGCATTTTTTTTCCTTCTGCAGATGATTAAGATCTTAAACAGCACATGTTCTGAGCTCTGCACCAAACCAGTGCTGAATAAAATGGGATTCTGAATAATGGGCCATATGAATAAACTCAACTGAGTGAGGACACGAAGGGAGCCTAATAGAAATATCCTCACGTAATAATGATGTAAGATTATTCATCCTTCCCATCACCGCTCCCTCCAGACACTGAAGCTGCCCACTCTCTCTGTGCACCACAGCAGACAGGTTGTCGCCAATAGGGGGGTTTGCAGCAGCTGTCCCACTCGGCGCATGTGACAGCTTGTGATCTGGACTCGACTGGGATAATAATAATAATTCAAAAAAAACAGGCGCAGTTCTGTAACACCTGGGAGGACGCAGCTGCAAAACTACGCACAGGTGAGCCGCAGCGCAGGGCTGCATGCAGACATGAAGCCCCGTCTGCTGGGCGGCGGCGGGACAACTAGGAGACTTTTATCGGCGTGTCTGATCTCTGCTTGCCAAGCTCTCCAAAGCTGCGGGGGAGTCCAGTGCGTGGATGGCCACCAATGCTGCCCGCAGCCCGTCCACGGGAACAGCAGCTCCGGCTCCTTGGAGAGCTGCTGCAAGCTCCCCATCCACATCTTCTTCGACAACGTCGGCTGGTTCACACGAAAGCTGTCGGGCATCCTGATCCTGCTGCTGCTCTTCGCCATGGGCTACTTCATCCAGAGGATCATCTGCCCACGGCCGCGCAACCGACACCAGAACCACGAGCACGGCGAGGAGCCCTCCCTCTTCCACGGACCCGCATCGGCGTCTCAGGATCTGCTCCTGGAGCCCTACCCGGAGTGCGCGCTCGGGGAGTTCGCTTCTCCGAACCTGCCGGCCTACGACGAGGTCAAATACCTGCCGACGTACGAGGAGAGCATGCAGGAGATGCACAGAGACCGATCGGATGATAACCTGTTGTCTGGGGAGGAGACGGAACCGACGGGGTCCGGAGAGCAGAGGCAGGATCTCCTGGGAGTGAGTCCTGCAAGGACAGCTCGGAACTCAGTGTGAGGGAGAGCAGGGGCCAGGGCATCATCCACCACTTTATTATCAACGTCAGGGGCAGGTGGGGTGGATGGGTGATGTAGAGAAACAAACTTTAAGTGCAATTATAATCCTGATTGTAAATGAGACCAGGAATGTGAACGTGTTTGGGATGATAATAGGTGTCTGCTCCCCTCCTGTATGCAAAAAGCGCATTAGTAAAGGGGATTAGAGACAGAAAGCGCCTTAAACTGATGCTCATTGTGTTAAAGGACAGATCATTGGCTGTGGGACAATCACATTAAGTTTCAGTGGCACCATGAAAACTCATTTCTTCCATAAAAATTCACCATTTCTCTCTGTGCACTCAAAATATTTTCTTTGCTTTATTACTTTATGCATCAAAATGTAAAAAGCAATCCCTCCTCGCAAACTTTGACTGAAATAAGGAATTCATTTGAGCTCGATACCTACTTTATAAAGACAGTCAAATCATGTCTAATCAGCATGAAAGCAATATTATCTTCACATCCACATGGTAGCTCACAGATAAGTGTTTTTGTTGGTAATCTGAACCATGTTTCATATGTATCTTGACAGATAAGCATAACCACAGGAGCAGAGTAAAAAGCTCACACCCCGCAGCTTTTGTGGCCTGGAGTTGCATGGGGGAAACAATGGCAGATGTACAACATGCATGCTGATACGGTGCATGTCGGCACAAGAAGAAACAAAAGGCGTCGCAAGAAATGTAGAAGAAAAACTACAGTTTCATTTCAGGAATTTAGAATATCATGTAACCTTAATTATTTCAGAAATTCAAACCATTATTTGTGAAAACAACAGTATTTTTTGGTAGCATTGATCAATCTGGCTTGAGAGAACAGAAAAAGCCAAAGTTCAGTGTCTGAAAAAAATAAAAATGGGTTTCTAGTGTATCGTTTTAATGTTCTAGTCAATGAAGCAGGCATCTGATTCAACACTGTTAAACTGACAGTTGCTGACAGCCTTCCCAAGAGGTTTAAACCACTAAAATATCTTTGTAAAAAGTTGCTTTCTTACAGATTGCTTTATCCAATCTTATTTGTAAAAAGTCAAGTGGGCGAAAAAATGCAGTAGAAATGGGTGCATGTGCACAAGGGATAATCCCAGCAATAAAATAAGTATAGAGAGGGAAATCACAGTCTGATGGCTGGAGACTGAGACACATCCAGGACCGGAGCTGCAAGAGTTGCACCATTTGTAACAAGCCGGTCTTCAAACAGATACAAGATGAGGGGCATCACCTTTAGGCTGAGGAGAAAAGGACATTGGATGTTCATTAGTTGAAAGTGCTCTTTTAGGATAACAGGGGATTTTACATTTTATTTGAAAACTATGACTCCAGAGTCTTGAAGAAGATTGGAGACATGGAATCAAAATGGCTGTACTAGGTCAAGTCAAGTGTGAAGTTTCCACAGATGATTTTTGGGATTCTCATCATCTACTGCTGTTGGTCCTCTGTGTTCAATCAAGGCAAAGTAATTTTGTAGACCATTCCATGCTCCCTCCCTCTGAGGAGCTTTACAGGAAGGCTAATTTCATGTACTAGGATTTGGCTGAAAAAAAAAAAAAAATGGAAGGACGTCTTAAACACCAAACACATAAACACCAGGTTACCACTAAACCAGGAAGTACTGCCTTTCATAATCAATTTGCCTTGGTGGTTAGCGTGGCTCAATGACCATGGTGTAACTGTATTCTATTGGTTAAAAAAACCCCAGACCTAAACTTCATAGAGAATCTATGGAGTGATGGAAAGCTGCTGTCGAAGTAATTCATGCAAAAGGAGCCCCAACCAAATATTAGCCCGATTTACACTACCCTGTGAAAACCGATCCGTGCCGAGCTCGTTTCCTTATGACCGTTTACACATTACGCCAGCACAGTTCCTTCCTCCTAATGACGAACTACGTAACTACTGCCCTCTACAGGGAATCAAGCAAACCAACATTGCGCCGCCCATAGCATTCAGGAAGTTTGGTCATAATTGTGATATTTTGTTTTTGGCAGATAGTCAGCCTTTGGTGAATTTACCTGACAGAGTCGGCTTTTGGGAGGTGGATGCGACAAACAATAGTCTAATCAGGTCTTACAGACGCAGGTAATGACAGACGTTGAGGTTCATCACACTGCTAAGCATCACCATGCCGAGATCGGTATGAGCACGGTAACCGAGATAACTGTTGAGTGTAAAAGACACACAAAACTGAAGCGGACCATGCCAGACAAAACCGAACCGCCCTAAACTGTTAGTAGTTCAGCAGCAGAGCTCGGCGCAGTTCAGTTCTGGCACAGTTCTTAAAAAAACAAAGATTATGTGAGCAGACCGCGTAATCTACTATTTACAGTCAGCCTCCAGTAGTTGGCGGTAATGCATATCAGTAAGTTGCTTGCCAACGGCCACAAAATAAAGAAGAGAAGAACTGTAAATAACAATCGAAATCTTCTCAACACTAAATTTTTTTAAATAGCTACAAAAGAGCGTGGGATGACGCTGAGACTGAGGCTTTTATTGATATTTGGGCGTAGGACGCTGTCCAGATGATGTTTACCATCGATCGTCACTAGGATGCGAGGAACTGTGCTAGCGTGATGTGTGAACGGTCATAAGGAACTGAGCTGGGCACAGTCAACTGATCCAAGCCCAGCACGGATCAGTTTTCAGATGGTAGTGTAAATGGGGCTTTTGTTATCAGAGAACCCAGCCTGAACTGAACCAGTCTGAGCCCTACTGTTGAGCTAGTACCAGTTTAGCGTGGTTCGATTGTGTCTGGGATGGTCCGGTTTAGTTTTACGTGCCAATTAAACTCAACAGTTATCTCGGTTACCAACCTTGGGCGGATCTCGGGATGGTTTCAAATAGGTAGTGTAAATGGAGCTATGTTATAGACTGTTGGTATTGTGAATAACTGTTATATTAAATGCCCAGCCAGCTAGGACGTCATATTATGTTGTGATACTTTAAAATGTCTATGGCCCTCCCCGGTAGGGGTCGCAAATATAATTTTTTAATCAGATATTATTTGGACTAGACATGCGTCGGGGAGCTGTTCCCACTGCCACTAAAAGCCGATTTTTCCCAGGTTTAATCGGGTTTTTTGGCCAATGGGAAAGTGGTACAACTGTGCGCCTCTAAACTAATACGTTGTTAAATCTTTTGATTCATTTTTGGCAATTTTCTTCGGTTGAAGTCTAAAAGGAATCCTACATGTGGCTAAGTAATATTTTCCCCACTCTACCAGGCAAAAGCTCCTCTTGTCCATCAGGGTTGGATCAGCTGTTTTAAAACTTCTTTCTCCAGATCAAACCGTACTTTTCAGGGTATCGATGAACTCTTTTGAACTCCATCAACCTCAGCTTGCTAGCAAACATCTGGTCAAACATTAGAGATAAAGAGGATTTTTTTTCTATCCCAGACATATCACATTTAGAGTGATTCAGCCAGCTTTGAATGTTTTCTTAAGAAAGACTTCTGTTTTTAACCATTCAGAGAATGTAGTTACATTTTGAGCAGGAGCAACACATTTCATTGTCTTTTTGTAATATTGCTGTTCTATATTTTTACTGTGCCAGCATAGGCTCTGTTAATATAATTCTTTTTTTTTATGCATCTGTATACTTAAATCCTTTTATTTCTTTGTAACCTCTCTGCAAACTATGACTTTTACAAAAGGAAATGATTGAATGTCAGAAAGATTAAAAGACAGCTGAACTGTATGTTGGGTTACTTAAATTCACTAAAACTAGTTTTTAGGCGCGTATGTTAAAAGACTGAATGTTAAAACTGGATAAAAATCTGATTAAACCGATTTTTTAAGAGGCCTGCAAGTCTATTTCACCAGCTTATTGCAGCTTTTTCATTTATTCCCCCTCTAACAGGCATGCCCGTTTTAAGTTATTAATGAGAAAATGGGGAGAAGTTTCAATTTGGTCTAATTTCTGAGATGCTAATTTTTTTATATACACTATATAATGAGACATCCTTCCATGACCACCCAAATTTTCTCCATTATTGGGAAGAAATAAGGAAAATCCCTTTACTTGATTGTAAGAAAGGGAGAAGATGTTGGAGGGAACAAATAGACTGCATGCAGGTCTTCTGCAGCAGAAAATTTTGTCAACATTTGGGATGACATAAGTCACATATTTTATATGCTGTCCTGCAAGTGCAGAAATGGCACAAAACTGATCAGATACAGAAACTCAGTCTGGTCCCAGTTTCTAAGGATGATCTGTATTACTTTCACCATTTGCTTCAACTTCAAAATCCATCATGACCTCCAGGGTCATTAGAGTTCAACTGTGGCTTAGTCATATACGGTTGAATTGCTTACACCTCAAATGCTTTAGAAAAATTGATTTAGAAAATATAAATTGAAACAAATACAGCTAAAACTAAACTGAACTTTATCCAGAGTAACGATAACTGCTAACTGGGTCAAATGTTCTATAACCCGAACAAGTAAAAAATGATGCATAGGGACTCAAATATATGCACAATCAATAATATTTGGTTCAATGGCTCAGCAGTCTCAGCACCATCAACAAGGTCCTGGAATAAATCTGGCTGGACATTTGACCCCTCTTCTTATGTATCTGGTAGAGCTTGTTTAAGCAAGTTATTTAATGTTTTTTTTTTTTTCTTTTGAAATAGCTTTGGAACACTCAAGCCAAATATACAGTATTTTTAACAGGGGTTGGTATCTGGGCCAGCCTGGAGGCCTAAAGGCTGGCCTTATTCAACAGTTGTAAAACCAGTTTAATAAAAAAAATAAAAAATGGGATAACTACCATCTGAGTTACTTACTGTGTTAAAGTATTAATGATTATATTGAAACATAGGACTTCAGAAAAAAAACCTTGTTCAGGATGTTTAAGATCAGTGGAGGAACCTCCAAAGTGACTTTAAAATACTGCACAAATTGTTCAGCAACGCAATGGCATCATCATACTGTGGTTCTGTTTTGCTTACTGTAGTTCATAAAATGTAATCACTGTATTGGTGAAAAACCCAACTCTGTTCAATTACCTCTGGGAAAAAAAAAAACTAGCATGGTGCTGCCACTACCATGCTGCATTGGGTACAATGTTCTAAGTTGGTTTGCACCTTGATGATAGTTGGACTTCGAGAACAGCCTGTCTAATGATGAACTGTCTTAACTGTGAGGGAAAAGTTTATGTCGGGGAGAAAAATCAGGAGTTCCAGAAACAAAAATGATCACAAACATCACATCAATAGATAAGGCAGACTAACTATTAGCTACTGGGATGGTCCCATTCTCAACTAAACTAAACAATGGACTTTCCTTAAAAAAAAAAAAAAATTATTGTAGAACTATATGTTTATGTCTATACAGATAAAAGTTGTTTTTTCTCACTGTCAGACATGACACCTAAATAAACCTGTCCCCTGACCCTGCCTTAGGTTCTGTTAGAAAATTATTTCTGTTTTTCAACATATGTCGACGTATGCTAGCGTATGTTCATACATGGGTAAGTTATTTGATTGTTGACATACGTTAATTATAAGTTACTCATAAGTCGTGGTGTCTAGTTTATCCAAAACCTATGAGTAACTTGTGCATAATTTATGCGTAACTTATCAAGAACTTATCTCAAACACATATCAACGTATTTGACGTGCTCCAGACGACCGCTGAACATGTTTCAGCTTTTGGCTACCATATAATGGCGTTTAGGAAATCTACTTCTTGTGCTTTTTATGCAGGCCGGGCACCTCCGGACGCATTGCTGCCTCCCTCAGGGTACTGGCGTGTGTTATTTCGTGGGCATTACACTGCCGTGTGTTATGCATAAGTTAGGCTACCGTTGGACATAAGTTCTTGACTCATTATGAATACTCTATGTATATGCCCAAAACTGATAAAATACATACAGCGTATGCCAGCATTGTAGAAGATTCAGGGACATCAGGCACACGCTGGCTAAATCGTCAAGGTGTGACAAGGCCTTTACCAGTTTGGCTGTATGATTTGGCTCACTGTCCATTTAGAGCCATTTGCAGCAAAGATCTAAATTTCTTGCTGATATCCTTAGTTGTTGTTTCAGATGATGCCATCTATTTTATTAAGTGCACAAGATCTTCATCAGCAGAAAACAACCCTGCTATAGGACAATGCCACCAACATATTTTACATTTGAGATTGTCTTCTTACACTGGAGAGCTACCCTGTTTCTTTCTCCAAATGTAGATAGTCATTGTAGCCAAACTTATTCATTGTTGTTTTCTTAAAGTATAGGATCTGTTTTACTGTAGATAATGACATATTCTTACCAGCTTCAGCCAGCATCTTCCCAAGGTATTTTGCTTTTTTTCTTGGGTTAGTATTCGTATGTTTGTACGGACCCATGGTATTTACACCTGCATACTACTGTTTGAACAGATGAATGTGGTGCCTTGGGTATTTAACAATTCCACCCAAGGATGAACCAGACTTGTTCAAGTCCACAATTGTTAAAAGCGTTTTAGATGTGTCTTTAGAACATTCACAGATGGGTTTCAAATAAGCACAAATGTTCTCCATTAAATAAAAATTGTTTAAATACAATAGAGTAAATTAGAAATTACTGTCAGAAAAAAAAATCCTTCTCAAATCATTCTGGCATTAAGCAAATAGAAATAAGTTAGGCTATTTTAAAATGCCTAAAATAGGAAAACATTCAGATTTTATAACTGCTTGTGAGACTAAACTGAGAAGAGTCTTTTCATATAGTGTATGCTAACTTTTGGTTTGGAAAGTATATGAATTTTTTATTTTATCTATTTTTTTAATCCATATTTTTTATACTGTATAACCATTTCACCCTAAAACAAAATAATTGCACTATTGCAATTTGAAAATTCCCAAATAAATTATATATATGCCCATGCTGATTTTATAAAAAGTTCTCTAAGGCCTTATGGATAAATCTGTATAATATATTGTTTATATTTTCAGACCTATGTTCTTGCAAATCTAACAAAGCAACCGTGGAACTCCTTTGACTCGATCAACACTAAAGGCTGAAGTGATGGCTGTTTGCTTCTGTAATCCAACACTGCCTGACTGTGATGGTAGAGCTGATAGAGATCACTGATGGCTTTTTTTCCTGGGCGGGAGGATGCTGACCTTAAAAGCATTAAAACCCGGCAGTTAAAACCAACTAATGGGGTACCATATAGCCACATGAATGCAAGTATAAAAAGTGTAACTGTTACTGATCAAAGAGCATCAGCTCTGCTTCCAAGGATGAGATGACAAAGAGGATTATCTTTCTCAGAAAGAACAGTAACATTATAATTACTATTTTCTTTTTCTCAAAGGCGGCTATGAGCAATTAAAACAATCCAATATTTGTGCAAAGTAAACAGAATGGAAAATAAAGAACAAAAATAGATTTGAGGGACAGATGTAAAACACAAAGGCTCTTTTTTTTTACTTTGTGCCTTTAATCCAGGTACTCTATTGCTTACTGGACAAAGGAACAGGAAAGGTCAAATCAATGAAGCTTATGTGCCTCGTAAATTTTACATGAGATCCCAGCTGCATCTCCTGGCTATCTGTTTAGTATGAGAGCACTTTGCAACCTCTGACAACACAGCAGCATGCTTTATCATAATATTTTTTATTTGAATTTTTGTAGTTTTACAAAAAACTTACACTTCTTTAATTGTTCTGCTTTAAAGTTAATGGCAGTCTTGTTTAATTTTGAATTCTTCAGTTAAATCAAGTAATAGATTTAAGACTTTATTTAGGAGTTGCTTTAGTCCAGGAGAGCATCTTTCACCTCATCAAGAGAATGCCTAGGTGTTGTAGGGTGTCAAACAGGCATGTGGAGGCAGCAAACAATACCGAGCCTCACTTTGACCCATTTTAAGGACATTACATCAAAGTTGGATCCACCTGTAGTGTTTTTCCATTATAATCTTTTGTGTAACACCAAACCCTGGCCTCCATTGGTTAATACATTTGATTTCCTTTGATGACTAGATGTGATTTTGTTGTCAGCACACTCAATTTTGTACAGAACAAAGTACAGTATTCAGTGAAAATGTTTCATTCATTCATTAAGATCTAGGACGTGTTATTTGATTGTTGCTTTTTTTTTTTTAAGCGGTGTATTTCAGTTCTGTTAAGCAGGCGTGGAGCCCCAAGCTGATACAGCAACAAGGGAGGATGTAAGAAAAGAAGTTGTAGAGTCGTAGGAGTTCAAGAGCACTGCAGAAATTTAGAGATGAAATATAATACTGAGAAGATGTTAAATAATAATAATAATAATAATAAAGATAATCAAAGAAATAATAATAATAAAGAAAAATCCTGAAAAATCAACTATGAAATATATTAGTCCTTTAAAAATATTTGGGATAAAAAAAATCCTACCTTTATGTGACGACTACTTAATATGTGTAATGGTTTAATAGGTTAAGGAAGTACAATTTATCAACCTATATTGGTGTCTTTCAGATTTGACCTTTGGCCCCAATGCTGTCACACCTCCATTGGTCACCTAAACTCCATGTTTTCATTAAATCCCTTAATTTATGACAGCTCTGATGTAATTTCTCTCCAATTTTTAACTGAGATTTCTAGATATTTTCATAAGATTTTATAATAAGGTTTGAACCATAAAAGGTAAATAATATTAGATTAAATAAAATGTTTGACTTGTTAGAAATTATAATTAATGACTAGAGTATTCTTAACCAGATGCAGATTCTCTAAACTTCACTGCAAATACCTAAGTTCTTACCAAGATATTAAAGAAATTAATACTGAAAGATGTTCGCTCCTGTGGTGTATTAACATATTTGTTTTTATTATAATCTCGCTAAATAAATAAAAAAATTGCGTTTCAATTCTATCTTCGTTAAAAGCAAAGATCCACGTGTCTGCAATGTTTATTTTTAAAACCAAACTGGTTGGCATAAAAAAAGTTAACTTTCCAATTTGTGTAAATCCCTCTCCAACACTAAAAAGGGGGCTGGCCAAAGCCCCCTTTTTTAAAGGGCCTGTTGTCTTTGCTGTTAATTTTAACAGCTTTATTTCTGACAATCAAAACTAACATTCTAGATAATAGGGTGTCAGGTAACACTGCATGGTGAAAAAAATCACATCACCAGGTTTGAGTTTCATGCTGGTGTATTTATTGTTTAGCAGAAACCCTGTCTGAACCACATGCCTCATTATTACTAATCGAAATCTGAGACTTCTTGTGGAGACACATGTTCATTTTGTTAATATTACCAACATCAAATAAACTACTTTTAGCCATATTGAACATGTGATAGTAATTTTCTTTTTCGCCTTTTACCTTCAAAATGATTTTTTTCTGTTTTTGCATTGCAGCTGGCAAACATCTGTGCAGTTTGTTCCATTATTTTCTTTCTTTGTAAAACACAGTTTTATTTCTTGTTTGGGTTCTTTACCAGATCAGGTTTAGGAACAGAAGGTCTAGTTAAACATGAATTCATAAATATTTAAAATGTGTCGCTAAGTAAAACCCAAAATAAATTATTTTATTTTGATGCATATTATCAGATCTGTCCTTTAGAATATTGAAAAATGTGTGACAAACCAAACATTTTGTGTACCTCCTCAGACTGTAGAATGATTTTCCATCACTGTATCAAGAACATCATAACAACTGAAATATAAAAAAAAGAAGAAAAGTTTTTTAAAGAACAAACAGAAACAAAGAATGATTCCAAAGAACAAAGTTGAGGTGAGGCTATATGTGATTAAAGAACGAGTATAATATATAATCAGGGTCCTATCCAGACTCTTTGTGTCAGCTGGCTTTATTTGCTCATGTCACTTACCTCCTAGTTATGCCCTGTTCCTCATCATCTCTTATCTCATTCACCTGCCGGTTTCTCTTCTATTTGGTCCAGCCCAGCTATCTTGGCAGATCATTGTTTGCCTTGTGTCCTGTCTGTCAGTTTTGTTAGATATAGGTCTATTTCCAAGGTTCATGTTCCAGTGAGGAGTTTATTTTTCAGCCCAGGTCTTTAGGCTAGTTTAATCCCTAACGAGTGGTGAGAGCGTTTCAGCATTTCCCGAGTGATTCTGTCTGGCCCTGTCCACCTGAACCTCTGTTAGACTCTAAGGTGCATTGCTGTTTATAGCTGGATGCTCGATGAACAGGACTCTGAACCTGCCTTCATGCTCTGATGGATTCCTGGAACCCAGATCTGTTTGTTCCTGAGTGGATCGGAACTCTGGACCAGACTGCAGACTCCTGGATTCCAGAACTACTCACCTACTGTCTCACCTAGACTACTGGGTCCATCTGTCTCGTTTTGACACTTTAAGGGTCTGCATAATATATGTTTCAAATTAGGTTATTGAAAAAACTTCAAGACTTGTCAAACACTAAAATGACAGAATCAACAAATTTTTCATAAACTCTATTTTTCCATTTGTTTTATTCAATTAATTGAATGTAGTGATGGCAAAAACATAGCTTTGAAAGAATCAAATGTAAGAATATATAAATCGATCATACAAAAGTAAAGCTATAAATATCAAAGTATTTACAAATCCAGGATCAAATCTGATGCATCACATTACTATACCCTTTTTCCTTTTGATCTCTTGCTGAGTTGGGTCTGTACACCATCTGTAGCTGTTGATGTAAACATTCACTAAAGAAAAGTAGACTGTACATTATTGCTATAAGCAGTAAAATGGGCCCACCTAAGACATGCGTGATTAAAATCCCATGAAGGAAAATGTACATGACAGATTAGAAATGAAACCAGCCATTTACACCCAACAGTTAAACAGTCAATTCACTGGAAATGAATAAAGGTCAGAAGTATATGATTATTGCTACTCCAGATAAAAGTATGGAAAAAGCCATAAAGAATTTTCATCTTTTGCAATATTAAGTCTTACATCATCTCTTTAGGTACTATTATTGGAGTTAAAGGGGGAAAAAAATCACAAGATAAAACATTAAGATGTCCTTTTTGCCATCCTAAACTATTTCATAATATTGTAATTTACACATTGTTTTCCTTTTTAACTTGGTTGCAGTGCATAGGAAGTTTGTATTAATCCAAGACATCTTTTTCCCTGGAATATAAATATGACGTGAAACAGATATCCACTTCTTAGAGCCACTGTTCAAATGGAGAAAGGGCAACAGAACATACTATTCAGGTAAGGCTGCTGTGTGTTAACCATTGTAAGTGCAAAACAAAATTTATGCTCATCTAAACCTGCCAGTATCTAGAGACAGAGGAATAATTACACATTTTAAAGAAACAAACACTGATAAAGATGGCTGAATGACTACCTACATTTAAAGTTTGGTATAAAACAGCTCCCCAGCTGGTAAAGAACTGCAGTGAGCAGTGACATCTTGAGGTCATCAGGTCTTAATGACAATAATTAGACACTATTTATAAGCCAACCAGTTGCATGGATAGCCTTTAATGTTTCACCTCAACAAACATGAACATAGAGACTTTACCTCAGCCCTGTCCTTTGGTCTGAAGAGACCACAGCTATAATCCCTCCAGGTGGATTTGCTGTGTTACAAAGGTAAATGTATAGGGAGCCACAGTGTCTTCCTCTTCATGTGTTAGGTAACAGTCTCGTGCCACCTTGAGGTGGATAAAAAAAATAAACAACCACCACCTAAATGTCCTTAACATTAATGACGTAGCACCACGTTGCTCTTTACGCTGGGATTTGCGGCTTTCTCTCGCTCTTTCGCCAACTCCATCTCAATCTTTGCCTGGATTTTATCCCAATCCACTTCAACCTTCAAGGGGAAACAGAAAGTCATATCAGATTAGATCAACCTGAACTAATCAGAATAGAAAGCAACACATTTTTAAAAAGAGACGCTCAAATCAAGAAGGAAACCTATTCTTAAAAATTCTGTTTTGTCTCTGAAGTATTGAAATGTACATATCTTTTCATCACTTTCATGAAATTATGAGTATCTGAATACAAAATAAGTTTTCTTTTAATCAGTTTTGAGTTAAATGTCAATGATAACAGCCTTTAAGCTGATAGCTTAATTTTACAAGGTTAACCAGATAAGAATGTAAGCAGCAACTGATCTAAACCTTATAGTATGTAAAATCACTCCATGTTATCAAAGAGTTGCAAAAAAATCTATTACTTGAAAGGAAAGAATTGGAACCGTTAATTCAATTAAAACAAAATTTAAACCTGCAACAAAAGTTTATACAACACCACAGAGAAGCTTTCACAACATACAGCTTCAGAATACTCCAGGAATCTCTTGTTGGTTTCCTTCCTGCCAAACTTCTGCAGGAACTTCTGCCTATAGGCCAGCACAGTGTCCACATGGGTCTTATGTTTGACTGCCAGCTCCAGAGCCCTGGACCCAAAACAATGCAGAGAATGTAGAAACATAACATTAACTGTTGAAAAATTTTTTTTTTTTTTTTTTTACAAATAAAATATCCTTTAAGATTTTCTAATAAACATTACATATCAAAATACCCCAACAGAGAGTAATATCTTTAATGCATGTGTCATCAATAAAAACAAACTGAACATCCTGTTAATTCTCCACTTTCCTGTCAGATTCTAAATTCTGTGCCGCCATTAGTCCAATCTAAATACCATTTAGCCTGAATTACACTTAAAGGTATAGTGGATGATTTTTGCGAATTTTTGAAAAGACATGCCCTCTCCATTTAAAAAAAAAATGTACATGCACAACCCTGTATCCGCTCCTGAGAGGGAACGCTTTTATAAGCTTGCCAGACTATGCACGAGCCCATTTCTCCTCGTGCACGCTCTGTTTAAATTGCTGTTTGCATCGCTCATACAAGCTTACTTTCCCAAAAAAGATTTGCAATTTTTCCACTGTCAGACCAGTAAGTGGAAATGGGGACGAGCACGTAGGACGACCTTACGTACACTGGAAAAAATATCAAAATCTAGATAAGTAATTTTTTCTCAAAATAAGTTTTTTTGTTCTTGAATTGAGGAGGTAAAAGAGACATATTGCCAGTGGAACAAGACAATTTACATTAAAAATAAGAAAAAAACAATTACATTGTCTTATTTCAAGTACATATTATCTAATTATCTTATTCCAAGAATAAAAATACTCATTCCATTGGCAAACTATCTCATTTACCTACTGAAATTAAAGGTAAATAAATACACTTATTTTTAGAAATTTTTGCTCATTTTCAGAACGTGTTTGCAGTGTAAACATATCACCAGAATGATTGATGATTAGGAGGACCACTTATTTTGATGATCCACCGGGGAAATGAACATCCTCCACTATACCTTTAACTTCCTAATATTGAAGAAAAAAACAAAAAAACTAAGATTCATTTTTTTGGTAACCCTACTTGTATATAGATTATTTGGACAAGAACAACTTGTCATGGACTTGGGGGTCAAAGAGATCATCGATCTTGAATGTGACAATCCAATTAAGGGAGCTAGCTGAAATAAAGCCAATTCTTTACAAGTAGTACTTTTAGACAGTTACTGGACCGGACTTAATGACAGGGTCAGAGCTTTGCCCATCACCTCTATCCAGATGTTGCAAAATGCTGAGCTCATCTTTATTTGGCACAAGTTTTAGCTTCACCTTATGATTGATGTTAAAATCATTTTATACACTTTTACAATCATCCTACTTCTCTGAGATGCTCCAGCCCTTAAACGCCAGTTTGCTCCCTTATGTCAGCTGATCAGCTGCTCTTGAGTGCAAATAGGACTGAGCATAGCTTGACAGGTCTGTGCATTTGCTGTTGCAGGTCCCAAAGTGTGAAATGATGTGCCCTTGGAAGTTTTGAAATACACTCACACTTCCATGCTAACCTTTGATACCATGTCTTATAAGTAAAGTTTTTTCCTACCACCTTCCCTACTGGTTGGATCAATCCCCATATAACTTTTCACTATATGAACATAAATATGAACTGAATTGTCATAGTTGCTTATAATGTTATGAATTAAGACAAGAGTTGATAATACTATCATTCTTTGGTAACAGTACATCAAGATAAAAATAAGTACGGCGGCCTGTAAGTATGAAAAAGTGGAATGATAATGATGCCAATAATAATGAATGTTGATTAACTCATCGATTAGCCTACCTGTTCCAGTTGAAAAGGTCAATGTTCAATTGTATAGCTTGGTAGGTAAGACCAGCTTGAAGGAGAGTTGCTTCAGCTTCCTGGAAATGACCACTGAACATCAGCATGTGGGCCAGTGCTGAGTCCTTTGATGGCTGCTTTTTAATAAAGTTGATGTACTGCACCCTCGGTAACTAAACCAAGAAAGGGGGAGCATTTAAAGAGAGAGGGAAAATGCACAGCGATTAACAAAATATTTCTTAATTAAGTTATTTTTTTGTAAGAACAGGTGAAAACCGTCTCAGTATTGCATACACACTCGTGATCGAAAACCTTAAGAACAGGGAAACATTAAAGGCATTTGCATTTAACGCTGCTGGGTCGTACACAGTAAAGCTTCAAAATACAAGAAGAAACAGGAGCAGGAGACAACAATATTCTGAGTCATCTACTAAAAATTTAATTTAAACTTAAGAAGGATGTTATCAGATGATTAGAAGTTCAGGACTATTAGCCAGAAAAATCAGAAGTAAAATAGCCAAAAACAGCCACTTTGAATAGTCTGCTCTAGATTAATCTAACTTTTTTGGCTTGATATGAGTGGCTTCAGTAGGCCAGCTGCTCTTTGTGGTGAAGAGGGCTCCTTAAAGTTCATATACGGTCTGGAGGCTACAACTGTTTTATTAACCTTCCCTGTTTTTCATCCTTGAAATTCCTGCTTGGAATTGGAGAACCGGCAGAATTGTTTAAAAGTGGAATATTAGGAGAAGTCTTTGTCACAAAAAATACAGCTTTGCTCTGCTTGAACTCCCAGTGATCACTCCCCAGAATAAGGCCTCCAGTCAAGAGATGCCCAGTATGACATCTCCTTCACATGAAGTTTTTGATCTTGCACAACCTGAAGCTTGGTATATAGAACACATCTCCAATTGGGTCTCTCTGTTATGAAAGAAACATTGGAAATCATAAGGCACATCCATGACGTTTTGGTTTTGTATCAGTGACTAAAACTTTCTTCAATCTGTCAACAGCCTTTGTTTGATGCCTGCATATAAATTCTAAAGGGTGAAGGAAGAAATGTTCATTCCTTCAGCTCTTCTCTCACAGAAGCCATCGTATTTGGATGCAGTCACCATCATTAAAGGTCTTTAGGTCCAGATTCGGCTTTCAAGAAACCCAAACAAATCTCTGACTCAACGCAGGTAAAGGTAGACCAAAATAGGGTTTAATGAGATGTTTCAAAGCAACATTATGTAAGTTTGTACTGAAAAAAAAATAAAAACCTTTAAAATAGCTTTTTTATTTGCCCCCCCCCCCTCTATTAAAACACTGTTTGATAAGCAGACTCACGCCTCAGTAGTTCAGCACTGATGCATCTATAAGCCTGTAGCCACACTGTTCAGTGGATGTGTTGTAAAGTGCGTCCATGTTGACGCAGTGGGGTAATGACTTGTGCAACTTTGGAGTTTTCAAGCCCGCAAGAGTTTAAAGTCAACTTAAACTATTTGCCTGTTACTTTTGTGCATTTATTAGATTTAATTACATCTTGGGTACGTCTGACAGACCAAAAATTATTTGTTCCCCTCTTATAGAGATTTTGATCAGAAGTATATTTGCAGAAATTCAGAAATTAACCAATACACTCACCTCTCTAATGGCAGCATAGGCTATTTCTGCTGTGGCTAGGTCTCTGTTTGCCATTGCCAAACCTGCAAGACACGCCCACAAAGCCTCATCCTACAAGTGGAAAAGGAAAAACATAAGATTTTTTACTGACAGTACTGGTATCATTGATTTTTATTTCTTGATAAAATACTATTATTTACCCCTAATTCTTTTAGGGGTAAATTACATTTCTAGGGAAACCTGGACCCACACTTTTGTATAGTACACTGAAGAAAATAAGTAAAAAATTTACGAACAACTAAACCATTATAAAAGCCCTTTATGTACAAAACAAATTAAAAGCCTTAACAAAAAACAGCATAGAATAAAGTCATAATAAATCTGTCAAAGTGGTTTGGGAATAGCATTCAAAGTCTTAAGTTTAACGGTTTGTAGAGAAGAGATCCAAATTTGTTCAAGGAAATAAAGTTTTGAAGCTGGAGTAAGTTTTAAAAACCAAGATGCTACATATGAAAATGCTTTTCCGATAAAAAAAGACACTTCTACTAAGCTCAAACTACTAGGCCAACCCCCTCCTGGGACCAGGTACAGCTGGTTGCAATCTGCTTTATCCAAGTTATGTCGTAAGCCTGCACAAAACACGTGGTGCTGTGTTCCCAGGTTCCAAGCCTCCTTGCCCTCTTCAGTTCAGTGCATCGTCGCCGGAGAGAACTTCCCATGGCTGCTCCTCCTATTTGGCCCTTTTTGACAGCAACACTCATATTTTCCAAAGCCTCTTTTTGATGCCGCTGTACCAAGTAGGTTTTCCAGATCCCACTTGTGGACTTGGTTGGGCCTGTAGTAAAATACCTGTTCTACACAAATGGAATAGAGGACATCCACCCGGTCAGATCTGCACAGGTGCTAGGATGGGGCCAAGAGAACACTGGATAATGGAGCATAAGCAGGAAGAGCATGACTTCGCTAGTTACCGTGCCATAGATGGGGGACCAAGTACAGCTTTTTAAAAAAAAAATTAGTTTGGGATACCACTCTGCGGCACCCAGGGAGCAGTCTGGAGTTAAGGGTCTTAATCATGGACCCAGATTGGCAGCCTGTGAGAGTCGAACTTAAAGCCTCAGGGACCTAAGCGCAAAGCTCCAGCGACTAGGCCACCATGTCCCGGGACCAGGCACAGCTAGTTGCAGTCTGCTTTGTCCAAGTTGCGTTGCAAGCCTTTGCCAAAAATGTGTGGGCTGGGCTACCAGGTTCCAAGCCTCCTTGCCCTCTTCAGTTCAGTGTATCAACACCTTTACACACAGTAGTGAAATAACAGTAGTCTGATTCAAGTGAAGGAAACTTGGTCAAGTGATCTATAGTTTGACATCCTACGATTGCCAGGTGGGGAGTGTTATGGAACTAGATATAAGTTTTGGAGTTTTTATGGCTTGCAGTTTTGTTGCATCCCTTGATGGTTTATTTGTGCATTTTATTTATCTGAGAGCTAACCAGTGCTGGTTTCACACGTGGTATTCCGTTGCCAACTACGCCTTCACGAGTTGAAAAAAATGGCATCATATGTACGTAATACTGTTATCTTTGAAGCAACTTATGCTCACCTAATTTGTCTTAGAAGTTTTATATTTCAATTTGGAGGTGTCCAAAACCTAAATATGGTATAGTACTAGTAATGGTTGCATGCCATGTGGTTTCTGTGACATGAAAGGCATCTGAATCAGCTAAATTTCACTCTATGTTTGACTGAGGAGTCATTTCACTTGATAAATACTGAGGTGATGTTCGTGGATACATGGCTTCACTTTGTTATTTTGTATAATGATGCAAAATGTATTGGTTTTATTTCAGCTTTTATTTCAGTTTCACATTTAATACATATTAAACCATCCAACCCATCAGTCTGTTTCTTTGATTTTGATTAGGTGAGTGTTTAATTGCCTGTATAGCTAAGTCTATGTATATAAATACTTTAATTGATTCTATTTTTCTTTTAATTGATTCTATTTTTCTATTATATATACTGTGTCTAAACATCCTCTATTTTCTTGTATGTGCAATTTTTCCTGCTACTGAAAATACAATTTCCCGAAGGGAGTAATCCCAAGGGATTAATAAAGTCAAGTCTAAGTCATATATATATATATATTTACTCTGAAAAAATAAATTAGAACTATAGTTTCAACAGTAGTTGGTCGTGCGTTGATCAAACTTCAGTTCAGAGCCATCACCCTGTAAAAAAGCTCTATAGTTGGCATCTGTCACAAAGACAAACAGCTCGATCAGAGACCACTCCAGCAAACAAACAAACACTAACTGGTCCTGGAAGATGTCAGTAAAGTGACAGAGGCTCCAGAGAAATGTTTGATTTAAAGAGAAGCATTGTTTTGTTTTTTTTGCAATTCAACTGTTGTACTTGAGAAATATGATGTCACGGACTATATGTCACGTTTGTATACATTAGCTCCAATATGCGGCCGTTTACTGACAACAAGAGCAAGTAGGATTCTGGGAAAAGCCACAGAGCCACCAAATGCTTACCAGAACTGCAGGAGGAGGGAGGGGTCAGGAGGAAAATCTTTTAAAACTGGTGAGTCGGCTCTCTCCGTCTCCACTCTACCACCCTTCTCTCCCTTTTTTAAGGATGTGGTTAAAGCATCATCTCACAAGCAAAGCATCATTCTAGATCTCCATCTGGACGCCTGAGCGAATATGTCTGGAGGGTCTTCACATTCATGTAGCTAAGTGGGTATTTATGAAGTGAGGTCTTGGGTGGGGGTGAGGGTGTGTGTTTATGGGTAGCCATGTTTTTGTTAATTTATGGGGACAATTTCCCAGGAATATGCTACATTCTGGGGACTTATAGGTACTTGTGGGACATATGACTGGTCCCCATGAGGAAAGGTTCAGTTCTTAGGATGGGGGTTAGGTTACGGACTAAGGTGTGAATTGAGTTTAGGTTAGGTTTAGGGTTAGGTATGTGTTGCTAATGGTACGAGTTATGGTAAGGGTCTGGGTTAGATCATACAAACTTAATTTAAGTCAATTAAATGTCCACCACAAGGATAGTGTGACACAACATGTGTATGCGTAGATGTATGTGTGTACTTGTATATATAAACTATTTAGGACCTTGTTTGGTATGTTTGCTGACTTTCTAAAGACTAACAGGCCTGACGGGGATCAAAGGCTAGTCTTAATGTGACAGATCCCTATTTTTTAGGTTAGGGTTATGGTGTTAATTAACTTTAGGTTAAGGTTAGTGTTAGAATTATGCCGGTAATGGTTAGAGTTAGGTTTAGGCTTAAATGCAGTAGCATAAAGTAATGTAAGTCAATGTAGAGTGTCAATCGGGATAGAAATACAAAGTATTTGTGTGTGTGTACATGTGTGTGGGGGTGGGGGGTGTTATCAGGCAAATGCTGTCACGAGGCGGTTTGCAGGCTAATTCAATCCTGCTGTTCTTGTCTTGTAAACCTGTCCACTACCTTCTGTCACAAGCTTTGTCAAGTTCTCTACATACATGGGATATTTACTGTCAAGTTGCAAGCAAACACCTTAATACCATTTACTGTGATTTTATTTGACATACTTACACAGATTAGTTCATCATCATGAGGTAGGAAAGGAAAAACTCATCCTTTTCAGCCTTTTTTTTAGATAGAAATCGAAAGTTATGGTCTACAATTGTATACCAAGTTAAATCTTTACAGAACTGCTTTTAGCTCCAACATCTGTCCATCAGCTTTACACATCTAGAGCCTGAAATGCCTGCTCCTCCATCGGTCGAATATACACCACACTTTCAAGATTTCTATTTGTAAAAATAACAATTAAATGACAAAAAAAAGGTTTCACTATGGCAGCAAACAAACAATACCATAGGAGCAATAATGAAGCTGCGACCAGCAGACGTTATCTGAGAAGGGTCAATATCTTACTTTGGCGAATCGGCAGAGACGCAATGCATCTTCCCAGCGTGCGGAGGTGCAGTACTCATGCAGGAGAGCAGGATAAAGGGGTACGTTGCTGTACACCAATGAACCGTCCCCTCGGCGCAGCGTCGCCTTGGCTCCAACGTAGCTCAGAATGTGGGGTGCACGACCAAACTCGCTTTGCAAAGACATAGACACAGATAAAATCAAACCAGCACATTATATTCTCATGTCTTTCACATATGACTCAGCCTGTGTGTGTCTACAACACAGAGTGGGACAATTATGGGAAACACAAAAGGTTATACACCATATAGGGGACTATGGACAGGAATATCCAAACAGTGCACTTGTTCCTTTGATTTTCAGTGATCATATGGTAGGAAGTGTTAAAAAAAACAAACTCTTCCCTAAAGTTTGTTGTCAACCCCAGCGACACAGTTTGCACCAACAGGACATTGGCAAAAATGTGCATATGAGCGAAAAATCCCTCTCTCTCTGACCAAATCACCTACGCCATATTTGGTCATGTCTAATAGAATTTAACCATTTTAAACAACATTGAGCTATCTTACTTTGGAATGACCAATGTTATCATTAAAATGGATCTTTCATTACTATATATAATAAAATATATGTTTACTATATATGTTTAAATACAGTGTTCACCTTTATGCAAACAAGTTGTGCAATCACATGTTAAGGAATCAATCAGACCAATGCCCTAGCAGTGCCTTACAAAAGGTTATTTGAGAGCATTAGTTAACATATAGCACCATGCCTCATGATGAGAAAAGAGTCACTTGGAGGGTTTGGAAGTTAAGTTGTGATAAATGTAAAAACTGTTGAATGTTAAAAACATCCCGAACTTTAACATCTCATGGAGAGCTTTTCATTCATCCAAAAACCAAAAGGAAAAGGCAGAACTACAAAACCACCTAAAGATGGGCCTGAATATGAAATACAGGCCTGACGAAGCACCAAAAAATCAGAGAATCAGCATAGAGAGCCGTGTAACCGTGGAGAAGATGCACGGTTCCACGGGTAGGCTAGACAATCTGTTGACTTAACAATTATCAGTCAGGCACTGCATAAATCTGGCTTTTAAAAAGGATAAGCAAGAGATAATGGTCAAGCAGTCCAATTTGGGGTATTACATTGCAACATATTATGGTTGTATTACGGTGGTGTCAGCATCATGCTGAGGACTTAGCTTCCTTAACCCTTTATTGTTGGTTATAAACACCACTTTGCAGCAAACAAAGCAAAATTGGGAGGTCAAATGTGGTCTGCAGGGTCTGTAAACTCTGTCTTATAGCTGAGTGTAATTCCTTCATATAATCCCACAAATAATCAAATATTGCCTACTGTGTGTGATTATATTGCCTACTGCAAATTAAGTAAAAAAGTTAATAAGCCAAGTTAAAAACTTAATATGTTAAGAAAAAAGATTTTAAAAAACAATTCAATAGGTCGATAAGCGAAGTTCAAAAGTTCCTGTGTCAGCATGAATGTTTTAAGGGTTGTGTTCTAACAAAAAATTTGTTTCTTTCATTCAGAAAAGGTTTTTCCAAAATTTCTTATAGAAGCGCTCTATGGATTTTTTTTTTTACTGTATTAAGGCAAGTCACTGTTTATAGTAATTATATTGACCTTTATATTGTCGTTGAAAATACTTGTTTACTTTCTTGTTATTTCAAATGTTATTACGATCTTGTTCTGTTCTTCAATAACACTTGACTTGAAATTTTTTAATTCAAAGGATTTTACTAAGTGCCCTTTAAAGGGTTAATAGACAGATAAACTGGCCGCAGTAAAGGGGAGTGAATAAAGCAAAATTTAGAGCAATCCTGGAAGATCACCTCTTATGGCATTTTCAATTTTAGCTATTGTATAAAATCATTCCATAACACAGTTTGCAACATGAAACTAATAACTTTGGTATGACAGATACTTATCAAAGGTTATCTCTGGTTGCAAGGCACAACCAACAGATGTCCTGTTGACCTGTCCTGATGATCCTGTTGATTATCTCACAGTGCCAAGTAGGACTGCAGATTAAGAGCCACAACTAAAGAATTATGGTATCTCTACGATCATCATGCATAGTACACAAAGCATACCGGCCATTAGAGTCTGCAGAAAACTGGAGATGTGGAACATCTTCCTACTCCTATGTTCACAGATGTTTCTCCTCTTAGTTTAAGTGAACTTTATTGATTTTGCAAAGATTATGTAGCAAAAAGCTCCTCTACAAGAAAGTCTACCGTGGTTACTTTGTGGGTAAATACCAACAGATGGACTGTTAAGATATAAAATGGCCTCTTAAGGGAGTCTAAACACATATGCCTGCTATACTTTTCTAAATTATATCTGGAAGAAATGTAGAACACCTTTAATACTTTCCATAACCACTGTATGAATACTTTTTTAAGGCACTGCAAATTTTGTTTTAAATCCCCTTACTTTATTTTTCTTTTATTTCAGACTACTTAAAAAACATGAAATATTTCCTGCTCAGTCTGTGCGGTTTCAGTACGGACTGCAAAGGAGATCGAGCAGCAAGATGTTGGCTCAGGCACACCAGTGGCTGCCTTTGTCAAATCAGCTATCAATGCTGAATATTTGCCTTGGACAGAATATAGCATCCACTCACCTGAAATGTAATTGTCTCAAAAGAATAGTGCAGGAAAAGTGCAAATAGCCTCTGCTAAAATCTGAGGACTTTTGAGCAGGAGGAACTGCAGCAACTGCTGCTCATAAAAACTAAGGGGATATGGTAATATTACCCTTGGAATAAGCTTGATAGAAAATTTATTGTATTTTTTAGCAGTGATTTTCAATTCTCAAATGACAATTTTAACGCCAGAGCCTACCTGCCATCCTTTGTGTAAATAGTTTTTGGAAGCAGTTCCTTATCAGTGAAGACGACACTTGGATAGTACCACACTGTAAACTGATCATCCTGGATTCCACATAAGATGTTAGCAGTATTGTTCCACGCCATGCTGTGCACCATGCTGCCTACAAGACAGGTCCCATTATTAACACATCAGTCTGCAGCAGCTGGTCACGGGTCGGTCTGAGTTCTCAGCAGCTTCTCTCACCGATTTTGCAGATTTTGGGATCCTTTCCAAGATGATGCACGAAGGTCAAGTACAGGTCACGGTTCTTGTCAATCAGTGCGATTTTCCTCTCTGTGGATGGGCCGCACTGGTCCAAAGCTAGCTCTGACACCTCCAGCTAGACAAAAAAAGAGATTACAAAAAGACATGAAACAAAAAGGTTTAAAAGCATGGTTCCTGTTGCAAAGTAAGGATAATTAATATGTCAGAGACAAGTCGATGCATGAGAGGGATTTGATAGGGAGGTAAAAGTTTTATTCTTTAATATTACATTTATTAACCATAAAAGAATAAAGTGTGTCTGTGTGTGGTGTTAAATCTGGGCCTTGGTGTAACCCAGCAGGGGCAACATGGACGTAGCAGCAAATAAAGATAGAATCTAAAAAGGCAGTTAAATATGGTCCAGTTATAAGCTTTAGTTATGCTTAAACTTTACCAACTGAATTACACTGCTTTTGTTGGCCTTATTCAACAAATATACATCTAATATGTAGGAAGTTAAACCTTGGTTCGTGACCTAATACTGTATAAAAAAGTGCAGACATTGTCCTTTTTAATGTCCCTCCCTGTAAAACAGCTGTATAAGGTGTATTTCCAAAAAAAAAACATGGAAACATGTTTAATCAAAAGGGAGAACTTAAAAAATATTACAAAATAAAACATAATATCCTACATTTAGTGAAGGGGTAGTGCCTGTGAATACCATGTAAGCTTAAAACTATGCCTGGAAACCTAAAAGTGTGACTGATATTGCTTGAAATCTCAAAATGTGAGAAACCAATCATTGCCTTCAAAGCCTTGTTGTTCTCAGCTCAAACCGGAAAAAGGGTCAGGATAACAACAGGAAATCCTGCTACTGATGAGAGTTGTTTCTCTGAGTCACTTGCGGGATTAATTTGTCTTAGGATCATGGCTTTCTAAATCAAAAATCCTGGGTATGCAGGGATTTCATATCAAACTTATTCCGAGTTCTGACTTATCCCACTTTCTGAATGGGGCCCAGGTGTCTGCTTATTTCCTAATCTTTTTTCCTCTTTTCTCATCTTTTCAGTCATGGTTTAGAATTATGGCCTGGAAATCATACTTCCATATTTACTTACATCTTTAACTATTTTTGTTTGTTTTAAAACAGAAATACACAAGTTACTTGAAAATAAAATGGATGACTTATCCTGAAACAGAAGAACCCACAACATTTAAATCAACATTTATGCCATAGATGGATATTTTAAGATGGAAAAGTTAAGTTAGGGGTGAGGTACATTTTAATTAGAACCTATCTGAGACCATAGAGGCTACCTCTATAAGAAAGGGCAAAGACAGATCCTCACCCAAAATAATTTAGAGAACAGAGGTGGACGAAGCCTTTTAATAACAATAACTGTTTCCTTATTGAATAACTAATTAAATATAGAACTGAAATATAAAGAAATCTCCTAAAAAAGAACCCATGTGTTAATCATCCATTTTTGTATGGCTTTTGTAGTCCAGGAACCCTCAAAATACATATTCGAGAAAATTATCCAAAGAAAAACAGTCGACTTATTTGTGTTGTTCGCTTTTTTTACTCTTATTTATTTATTGATCTCTCCTTTTGGTCACATTTAGGTACAGTTTTGATTAATTAGTTTATATAAATACATCCAAAACAATCTAAATGTAGTTTTTGGAGTAGCATAGTAAAAATTTGGTCTTAAATCTAAATTGAAGATACTGTGGTCTGAAGTTAAATGTATCATTATAGAAAAGGAAAAACAAGGTTTGGTAAACGTTGTTTGATTAAATAGAGGAGAACAAACCTTATGGGTCAAGGGTTTCCCATCACCAATGGGTTTTCCAGTCATGGCGTCAAAGAAAAGGATAACTATAGATTAAAACAAGGAAAAGAGAAATGTAAAACACAGTATATGACGTCCAAAAAAGCTGCTCTTGAAGAGTTTCCCAAACCTTTTTCATCAGTCCTATCACGCACAGCGATTGTGTCATTGCTAAGTGAGGCAGTCTGGGCATTTAGGATGTCTGCCCTCAAACCCGGAAACTTGGGGGATGATATTAACCGACCCTCATAAGAGAAGGTACACAATCCCGATCCTTCCACAAGTAAAAAATGTCTGAGAAAGAAAGTACAGGAGATAAGACACATATAACTTTGCTTAGGGTGAGAGGAGCATCAAAGGGAGGCAAGAAAATATAGACAAGTTCTTAGGATGGTGGAAAATAAAGAGATAATTAACTGACATATTCCAATAATTAAAAAATCTACTGCATCTCAATAGTGATAACTCCCTCAGTACAAGGCATCAAATTCAACTGAGATTACAAAATAGTCAGTAATGTATTTAGCTCCATGCTAAGTGTCAGAGCGTTGAATTGCACAAGAGCTACTCCATATTAATCTAATTTCCCTCAGTGGTTTCACTCTCAGCCTTATTGTATGACAGGGGCAAAGTTAGAGCACATCCTGTACTTGTGTGTGAATCTGTGTGTGTGGCTGCTGGCTGTGGAGTGGCCAGTGAAGAGTAATGAAGCATTAGGAGGCTGACAGGCCATCCAACAGCCTGTTCTGTTACTTGTTGCACAGAGTTGAAAGACTCACTTTTCAGCCTGTAGGATGAGGCTGATCGTTCCTTCCTTCAGATCAAAGATAATGGGAGTATTCCAGTTCCTGGAGCTGGTACAAACACACACACACACACACACAAAAATATGAACATCCTACTCTCAATAGATAAAAAGAACAAAAAAGACAAAAATTGACTAGTGTTAAAAAAAGTAGAGTAAATTACAATGAGAGGACAAAAAAATTCTTCAAATATAACATGAAAAAGTGCAGATATCAACATTACTTGAGAGAAAAATATGGAGTAGTATTTGCGTAACTAAAGTGCATCTTAATCTGACATTATGAGGCTAAAAGAAATTAGACATTATTCAAATTTTAAACCATACATCTCATCACAGTTTTTTAGATGATTAAAAACACATCTTTCTTTTAGCAGCCACAAACACACCATAAAACTGTTGAAGTCGAAGGGAAGCGGCTGTTCCAATGGTTGCTATACGAATTCTCCCGAGTGGTGCCCGACTTTAGCGAGTGAATAAAGTGAATGTGATTGGTCGTTTATCAAGGGGGTGGGATTCTTGTAGTGGAAGGTTTGCAAGCAGGTTTGATTGTAGCCGGTTTCTCTAAAGCATCTTGTTAACCAGTTAGCAACTTAGTGTTAGTAGGTTCCCAATGGGAAATTACATTGGGACCAAGTAGCAGTAAGCAACGACCCTGTGAAGGAACGCTATGGACAGCAGAAACATGCAAGAGGAGGACGGTTTTGTTTCGGAGGTCGTGGATGAGTCTCCTCCGTCATACATGTTTTATTTAGAGGAGGAAAGCAGAGACAAAGTTGTTGTGGAGGAGGACGCCAGGGCGGCAGAAGCTTCGTTTGGTGTAGAAGGCTTACAGCCGTTCATGTTTGAGCCCTTGCCTCGCAACACTGACAGTTCTGTTAGCTCTACACCTGCTGAAGACACAGACGTCCATCCCCGTGAACAATGGGATGTAACTCAATGGTAAAGTAAATGATTCTTATTTCTTATTTCAACCATTGCGTATATTAGCTGCGACATATGAATCAAGATGCTGTGACCGAAAAAATTTGATTGACAGATGACCATTGGTATACGATTGGCTGAATTTAGGTGTACAAGCTGACATATAACTAACTGGCCTGCATAAGATAACGAAAAACAACCCCACAGATTTTAAGACAGGATTTTTTTTTAAATAGAAATTTTCAAACATTTGGGACAATATAGTCTGATAAAGAGTACATTTATATAAATGTTTAAGCCAGAATGATTTGACATTTAAATATGACTTCCGTACGACTTTAAAGGACATTTTCCAAAGATTTAAATCTGTCAAATGTAATACTGACATAAGAAAGGTTGTTGTGGGAAAAAAAAAATGATTTCTAGAAAAATGGAAATTGTGAGGACATGATAATGAATGAAAAATAAAAAATAAGATGTAAAAACTATACAACTATTAGAAATACAAAATTTCATATAATTAAAAATAAATTTAAGTAAAGAAAACAAAAACATGTCTGAAAAAAATAAAATTAAAGGGCATTGAGCAGCTAACATTTATAGAAAAGTCTTTTTCTTATCTATTAATCTAAACACTTTAAAGTTTACTAAAATAATGTAAGATGACTGGCAGAACAATTAAACACATTAATAAAATAGTGAATTCAAAAATAATACAAAAAACTCTATTAAAGATTACAAAAGTAAGAAGGTACAAAAACAAAAAATTATGGTACTTACTTCAAGAAAGAAAAAAAACATTCGTGAGAGAAATACAACCATTCGGTTGGTAGTCTTAGATTCAATATAAACGCTAATTCATAAATTAGCTTAAGATAACTAGTTTATTAGACCTGAGAGGCTAGATTACAAAGCCTCCTCAGCCATTTCCAGGTTCTCGGGAAACCATTTCCAGAGGAGATGATCTAAGACTCAGTTCTAGTTCTGTTTGTAAGAAATAAACTGACAAAGATCAGTCCGCATTACAGGACTCAAACTATTCATGCTTAGAAAGATTCAATTGTCCCTTCTTTGCATTAACTATATTCTGATAGTTTCTTCCTGGAGAAAGTAGACTTTCATTTAAGGGATCCAACGGTAAAAATGGCAAACAACAAACTGACAAAAAAAAAAAGAAAACCACTGACTTGTAGATGTAGCACTGAAGGGAAGTGGCAACAACCAGGTGGTCAAATGCCAAAGAGGCTTTGATGACGCGGTCTCTAAACTCCAACACATCTACTGCATCGTTCTGGACATTCCTAACCTGATGAGGAAGAGAGACATGAGTAAAAGGCAAAAAGGAAAGTTATTTCAGAAAGCAGATGTAAACTTTTTATCACAGGAAAACTTGTTTATTATTTCAGCATTACGCTGGCTTTACAAAACTTTGCACGCTCGTGTAGGCCCAACAGAAACCAGTGTAGGACTTCACCATGCCTTTAATAGGCTAGGGAGAAAAAACTTTACTCTTTCACCTGTAATGATAAACACTTCTCTCCAGTTCTGAGTGAATGAATGAAAGAGCTTTTTCCAGCACCAGGGTAAAGGTGGGGTTATTTTTACAGCTTTACAAATCTTCTCTCCTCTCCTCCCTGTAGCTTTCCAAATTTACATGCAACACAACCAGGAATAAATACGGTTCGGCCGCAAGGTGGTAAATTTAGCTGGCTGATTCACAAACCACTGGCAGATGTTCACTATTAAAAATGGACTGTGGGGATAAGAGGTGGGGAGGTGGGGATAGAAAAGCACCAACAAGGCTGAAAATAAAGAGCTAAAAGGCAACCTTGTTTGGTTTTAATAAACCGTACTGGTTAGAGGCAGAAGGGAGTGTTGATGTCTCCTCATTTCTATAGGTGTGCACGTGTTTGCCTGTCTGAAGGTAGAACGGTGGTTGTATATGTACACTTGGGTGTGTTAACTTCGTGCAAAAGCTACCTTGTGGTCATTGTGAGTTTAAACTGTAAAAAGCGAGGTAGTGAGCTACAGACTGGTCATTGTCACTGCAGGGCTTGGATATTACAACTTTTAGACCAATATTTTTAGATCAACAATAATAGCATATATTTTGAAATAAAAGGCTGACTCTTTTTACCTGCATGGTTCTCCTTTTGGTAAGAGTGATGACAAAGTTCTTCCACTCCCAGTGCTGCTCCACCACATGGGCAAAGATGACATGTCCGTTTCCACAGGCTCCGGCCAGCTGGGTGCCATCCGCAGACCAGGCCAGGCTGAACACACTGCCTGTGTTGGGTTTCTCCAGCGCATAGGACCACTAGAGAAGGGAGTAAGAGAATACCGACTCAAAATAAGTTCAGTGGATGTGCCGGTTACTTTTCCTCTTAAGCTAACTGTTCCCTTGTCTTTTTAGCCTTTACATAACCTTTTTTTTTTCTTGCAAGACATGAAGCAGCCTGACATGAAAGGTTTATAAGGGACTACATGTCAGTTCATGCCCATTAGAAAATTATTTTTAATTACTGAATTTATTTTAGCAATTCAAAGAGAAACCCTTATGTAATGGTTCTTAACATTCAGAGTGATATTTTTGAATATTCTGTGTCTGTCCAACCTATAAAATCTTCAAACTTAAGGAGGTAAGAAAATCAGACAAAACCATTAATATTTCCAGGATAGCAATGTTGGGCTACTGAAAATTGTGCAGTCTGTGGCTCTGTTGTGGTGCTTTGCAAATCATCTGGACTTTTTAGGATCCTGCGTCTCTGCCCTGAAAAAGCCTCACTTACTCTTTAATAGCCTTTGGTTCACAATTCTTACCAGACTACAGTTATCCCTGTGACTTGTGCTGCCTTTTCTAATACAGTTTTCACTTTCCCTCAACATTATATGCTTTACTATAAAATGTGTAAACATACAGCCTTTTCAACAATTCAGTTTAATTTATTTATTTGTAACAAAACATAGCATATTTCATCCGACCAATAAAAGAAAGTGTTCTTAATACAACAAAGTCAACCTTCAAATAATTATGTACGGTTATGCACTCAATACTTGGTCGGGAATCCTTTTGCAGAAATGACTGCTTCAATGCGGCGTGGCATGGAGGCAATCAGCCTCTGAGGTGTTATGGAGGCCCAGGATGCTTCAATAGCGGCCTTTAGCTCATCCAGAGTGTTGGAATCTTGCGTCTCTCAACTTTCTCTTCACAATATCCCACAGATTCTCTATGGGGTTAAGGTCAGGAGAGTTGGCAGGCCAATTGAGCAAAGTGATACCATGGTCAGTGAACCATTTACCAGTGGTTTTGGCACTGTGAGCAGGTGCCAGGTCATGCTGAAAAATTAAATCTTCATCTCCATAAAGCTTTTCAGCAGATGGAAGCATGACGTGCTCCAAAATCTCCTGATAGCTGCATTGACCCTGTCCTTGATAAAACACAGTGGACCAACACCAGCAGCTAACATGGCACCCCAGTCCATCACTGACTGTGGGTACCTGACATTGGACTTCTGGCATTTCCTTCTCCCCAGTCTTCCTTTAGGCTCTGGCACCTTGATTTCCAAATGACATGGAAAATTTGATTTTATCCGAAAAAAGTACTTTGGACCACTGAGCAACAGTCCAGTGCTGCTTCTATGTAGCCCAGGTCAGGCGCCTCTGCCACAGTTTCCGGTTCAAAAGTGGCTTGACCTGGGGAATGCGGTACCTGTAGCCCATTTTCCTGCACCTGTGCACGGTGGCTCTACTCCTGACTCAGTCCACTGCTTCCGCAGGTCCCCCAAGGTCTGGAATCGGCCCTTCCACAATCTTCCTCAGGGTCCAGTCACCTCTTCTCGTTGTGCAGCATTTTCTGCAACACTTTTTCCTCCCCCAGACTTCCCACTGAGGTGCCTTGATACAGCACCCTGGGAACAGCCTATTTGTTAAAAAATATCTTTCTGTGTCATACCCTCTTGCTTGAGGGTGTCAATGATGGCCTTCTGGACAGCAGTCAGGTCGGCAGTCTTACCCGTGATTGGGGTTTTGAGTGATGAACCAGGCTGGGAGTTTTAAAGGACTCAGGAATCTTTTGCAGGTGTTTAGAGTTAATTTGTTGATTCAGATGATTAGGTGCATAGCTCGTTTAGATACCTTTTTTATGATATGCTAATTTTGAGAGATAGGAATTTTGGGTTTTCATGATCTGTATGCCAAAATCATCCATGTTAAGACAATAAAAGACCTAAAATATTTCAGTTAGTGTGCAATGAATCTAAAATATATGAATGGAAAATAATGAACTTTTTTACAATATGCTAATATTTTGAGAAGGACCTGTACAATAAGAAAAAGCAGAAAATATACAGTAACAGAGATAGAATGAAGCAGAATGAGGAAAAGTGGTGCCTTTGTGATGCAGCAGCCTAAACATATACTGTAGCAGCATAAATACAGAAAATAGCTCAGGATAACTCAACATTTTGGCTGAGGTATGAGAAAGGTAGAGCCACAGTAGAGCCAAGGTAGAGCCAGGGAGAAATGTCTGTCCAAACTGAAATTCTTATTAAAAATATTATAAAAAAAAAAAAAATACATTTATTGATCTTATGTAATATTCTATTTTTCTGAAAATTTTATTTGGATTTCTATTAGATGTAAGTCATTATCAACACTATCAGAAATAAACATTTGAACTATATAAGTCTATGTGTGATGAATCCAATGAATTTTCATTTTTACATCAAGTTTCATTATTCTTGCACCCAATTACTGATGTATAACCTTTAAGTGTTATTCTTATCACTGAGATTTACCATTATGACCAGCATGAGGTCTACCAGTATATTTAAGACTCTGTCAAACATGTCCTCTGTTTTGGTGTACTAATAATCAAGATTTAGATTCATATATCCAAACAATAACCCAGAAATCCTGCCCTTTGATGATGTCTTCTCTAACACACTGTAGCCTGGGCTTTATGTTTGTCTTAAGCTCCATTTACACTACCCTTTGAAAACCAATCCATGCAGAGCTTGGATCAGTTCACCATGCTGAGTTTGGTTCCTTACGACCTTTTACACACCATGCTAGCACGGTTCCTCGCCTCCTAGTGGTACTCTACCATACTACTAATCTATAGAGCTAGAGATACAAATCAAATGGTGGCGCCCAAAACATTCAGGAAGTTTGCGGAATCAGGCGAAGAAGGCAGCCTTTGGAGAATTTAATTGAAAGAGTATCATCACTGGAAATCGTGTGACAAGGTAGGGAAGCGTGTATTTTTATGAATGTCTGAAAATACATGATTACGGAGGCTGACTGTAGACTGAGATGATGAGGTCTGCTCATGTGCTCTTGGTTATCTGAGAACTGAGCCAGAACTGAGCCACGCCGAGCCCTACTGATGAACTAGTACCGTGTTAGCGTGGTTCGGTTGTGTCTGGCGCGGTCCGATTCAGTTGTGCGTGCCATTTACACTCAACAGTTATCTCTGTTAATGTGCTAGGATCAATCTTTGCGTGGCTTCAAAAGGATAGTGTAAATATGGTGTAAATATTTACACCGTATTTACAAAGCCATGTAAATATGTCTTTAGAGAGCAAATGTATCCTCCTTGCACACCCCTTTTAAGGTTATTTCTTTCTGAATGTTCAACCAATTCACTATTTATAAAAGGAATAAGGATATGAGGAAAAGAAGAAACAGAAAAGTTAATACAAACATTAATCCAACATTTAGCCTATGTCTGCAGCTGTCTGTGGAGACTGAGTTACCCCACCTTTTCAAAAAAGTGCTACAACTACTGATGCTGTTCAAATCTAAATGCCTGTGAGAATTAGGCTTTTCTGTGTTAACATGAATCTAAAAGAAGTAGCGGTCAATCCTGCAGGTAAAGGATGATAAATGTTTAATAACTGACTGCATCAGTGCCCTGTGCATCTCAAAGAAGCAGATTAAATCTTCCCTCTAATGGCTCTATGCACAGCTCCACTACTTCCTGAACAATTCCTTTGTTTCCTGTCTTTCACAACTGGACATGATAATTAATCCAGGTGTGTCTGGTTGGTTACAAAAGTTATTTTCCTTCTAGCCCTCTTCTGACTTCTGCCTGCTCTCTGCTTTACTATTCTAAGTAGATTTGTCTCTTTTCTCTTCACCTATTCTTTCTATCAGTGTTCCGATTTCCCTATACTCTCATTTAATCTTCTTTCTATTAGTCTTTCTATCTTCTTTCTCTCTCCTCTTCTATCAATCTTAGTCTGCTCTAGAAGAGGCATAATATAATCACAATCCCTTACAAAAACATTAGAATGTACAACCTGAAAACTTAAAATTTTATAGTTAAAATAAGAACTTTGTTTCACCCACCTTATTTTTAGAAGAGATACTATAGTTATGCCAGAATAATCTCATCATAATCATTATTATTACAACTATTACCTGATTAAATACTAAAAATGCTAATTACCACATAATTTGGAGCCACAAGCAAAACTAACATAATAAATAAACTTAAACAGGCGGTTATCTCTTACTTCATCATTCTAAGATCTTGCAGATCTTGTCTCATCCAGTTTTCCTGCTCCTGATTCCCATTTTTTCATGAGAACCTTCATATATCCAAACTGTGTAGTAAAAAAAGCACACCTGAGCCTGTAAGTCTATGTTCATAAATCATAACCATAGATCAGCAAAACAACTTATAATAACTCTATGTATAATAACTACCGTAAAATATAAACTAGAGGTCACCAGAAAGTACTAAAACATCTTTAGATGAACGCTTGTTGATCCCTGGAGAACCACCGTACCAGAGTTGCATTTTATCCAATATCTTTTCCTCATGCCAGCTGCAACCAGTGGTCTTGTCTTGCTTTTTGGTTGCTGGTTGTTAGCTTGGTTAAAGTCATGCTTTGCATCCTCATTTATCAGTAAAACAAAACACATCAAATTCCTTTTTTTTTTTACATTGGCATAAACCAAATATTTATCACAAGGATCCCAATCCAATCATTTTAATTAGAATGGATTAGCCCAATCCAAATACAATGAAGTTTTTAACACAATTAACATCCTTCTTTTGTTTTAAATGTGGTGCACTCCATTCATCATCTCCCCCCCCTTTCAAATTAGCTTATTTTCTGTCATAGTTATTTATATGCACTTTTAAGTTATTCGAAAGTGTATAATGTTTGGATTTTGCACACTGGACAAACATTTTAAGGTTTTTACTTTATAATCCTCTTGATCTAAGTCCTTAGCTACATTACAGCTATAATGTATACTGAGTTTATTTCTCACAAGTGTTATTTGTTTTAAAGATCAGTGGATTTT